CCTGACGCGGACAACCGATGACCCAAGAAGGAGATGGACTCCTGGAAAAACAGACATTTCTCTGCCTTGACATACAAGTCATGCTCCAACAGCCTACCCAACACTCAGCGCACCAGGGCTACATGCTCGGCTCGTGTAGCAGAGTACACTAGGATGTCGTCAATGTACACTACCACTCCCTGCCCATGCAGGTCCCGGAAGATCTCGTCCACAAATGATTGGAAGACTGAAGGAGCATTCATTAACCCGTATGGCATGACAAGATACTCATAATGACCTGAGGTGGTACTAAATGCCGTCTTCCATTCATCCCCCTCCCTAATGCGCACCAAGTTATAAGCGCTCCTGATTTGTGAAGAAACGCCCTCCGCGTAATGATTCAGTCATACTCGCAATCAGAGGTAGAGGTTAACTGTATTTCACAGTAATCTGATTGAGACTACGATAATCAATACACGGGCGCAAACCTCCGTCCTTCTTCTTCACAAAAAAGAAACTCGAGGACGCAGGGGAAGTGGAGGGCCGTATGTATCCTTGTCTCAGGGACTCCGCTATGTCTGTTTCCATAGCCGCCGTCTCCTCTTGAGACAGAGGATACACATGGCTCCGCGGAAGTGCCGCACCTGTCTGGAGGTTTATCGCACAATCTCCCTGTCTATGAGGTGGCAATCGCGTCGCCCTCGTCTTGCTGAACACGAGTGCCAAATCCTCATACTCAGGGGGAATGTGCATTGCGGACACTTGGTTCGGACTCTCCACCGTGGTCGCCCCAACGGAAACACCTAAACATCATCCAACACACTGGCCAGACCATTCCTTGAGAGCCCTCTGTTGCCACGAAATTGTGGGGTCATGGGTGATTAACCAAGGAAGCCCCAGCACCACGGGATACGCAGGAGAGTCAATGAGGTACAACTGAATAATCTCCTCATGACCCCCCTGCGTCTTCATCTTTAGTGGCGCTCTGACCTCCCTAATCAACCCAGATCCCAACGGGCGGCTATCTAGGGCATGGACAGGAAAGGGTGCATCAACGGGCAGGAGGGGAATCCCTAACTTAGAACAACATTTCCGATCAATAAAGTTCCCAGCTGCGCCTGAATCGACTAGCGCCTTATGCTGGGAATGAGATGCAACCTGAGGAAATACCACAGGTATACACAAGGGAACAACAGAGAGCTCTGGGTGAGTGGGGTGTCTACTCACCTGAAATGACTCCCCAGTGCGCAACCTGTTGCCTCGATTCCTCGGAGACCCTCCCCAGCACCTAGCCGCAGTGTGTCCTCCACGGCCACAGCTGGTGCAGGGGACGGCCCCCCTCGGGTTCTCTGTCCTACTCTCTCTTGCGCCAGCACCCCCGAGCTCTATCGGGCTCGGCTCGGAGGTGCTGGGGGATGGAATGGACGGCCCCATCTCGGGATGTCCGCGGGTGGCCAGCAGGGTATCCAGACGGATGGACATGTCCACTAGCTGGTCAAAGGACAGATTGGTGTCCCTGCAGGCCAGCTCTCGACGAACGTCCTCACGCAGGCTACACCGATAGTGATCGATGAGGGCCCTCTCATTCCACCCCGCATCTGCCGCTAGTGTCCGGAAATCCAGGGCGAACTCCTGTGCGCTCCTCTTCCCCTGTCGGAGGTGGAACAGACGCTCCCCCCGCCGCTTTACCCTCAGGAGGGTGATCGAAAACTGCCCTGAAGCGGCGGGAGAACTCCGCGTAGCTGATGGTTGCGCCGTCTATTCCCCTCCATTTGGCGTTGGCCCACTCCAACGCCTTGCCGGAGAGACAGGAGATGAGGGCGGAAACGCTCTCGTATCACGAGGGCGCCGGGTGTATGGTGGCCAGGTAGAGTTCCACCTGAAGGAGGAACCCCTGACACCCGGCTGCGGTGCCATCATACGCCCTCGGGAGCGAGAGCCGAATCCCACTGGATTCCGGAGCTGATCTGGTGGGGCTGGCGATGGTGGTGGTAATGTAGGAGGAGGTGTGGGCACGCCTCACCTCTCCCATCGGCGCAGGGTGTTCATTACCTCCTGCATGGCGGAGCCGAGTTGCTGGATCATGGCGTCCTGGCAGCTGACCCGATCCTCCAGCGACTCGGTCGCCGCCGCTGCTCCTGCTGACTCCATGTATGGAGTGTCGTTCTGTCAAAAGGCTGATGTGGATGCGGTGTTGGAGTCAGGCGCAGGACACAGAAGCTTAGTCGATCCGACTTTAATAGTCACAGGAGCAAAATACAACTCCAACGGGCCTCATGAACAGGAGGCGAGCGAATAAGCAAAACAGTGCGTAAAGTGCGAACAGCACTAACAATAAGAAAACAAAATACCTACACCAACAGACAGGCGTACAACGACACACATCTACAAACAAAACCAAAGGAAACTTATAGGTGACATAATCAATAAGTGATATGGAACAGGTGCACTAATCAGACAAAACCAAACAAACATAGATAACATCAAACGGTGACAGCTAGTACTCCGGGGACGACGAACGCCGAAGCCTGCCAGAACAAGGAGGAGGAGCAGCCTCGGCAGAATTCGTGACAGGGACCAACACTTTACATGTTGCGTTTATATTTTTGTTCAGTGTATTTTGATGTCCATTAGGGAACATTATGAAAAGGTTCCTATTTGTGTCGGACGTTATCCATGAGACATTCAATGAAAGGAAATGTCTCTTGATGGTCAAAGGAATGTCACATGATGGTACTTTTTAGGATGTTCTCAGGACTTCAATTTACTAGTCTTCAGGACGTCACAAGATGGCCCCAAGGGAACGTTCTCTGGGGAACCTTTGTCTAGTTCCCTGTAAGTTACTAGGACGTCACGAGGACCATTACATTTACATTACACTAATTTAGCAGACACTCTTATCCAGAGCGACTTACAGGAGCAATTAGGGTTAAGTGCCTTGCTCAAGGACACATTGACAGATTTTTCACCTAGTCGGCTCGGGGATTAGAACCAGAGACCTTTCGGTTACTGGCACAACGCTCTTTACCACTAAGCTACCTGCCACCCCATGTCAAGACATTCTCAATACTTTTATTTTTCTAGTCATTAGGACATTACGGGAAGGTCCCAAGGAAATGTTTTCTGGGGAACCTTTGCCTAGTTCCCTGTAAGGACATCACCGAGGACCATGTCAGGACCTTTTTAGAACATTCTCAATACTTTTATTTTACTAGTCATTAGGACATTACAGGAAGGTCCCAAGGGAATGTTTTCTGGGGCACCTTTGCCTAGTTCCCTGTAAATTACTAGGACGTCACCGAGGACCATGTCAGGACCTTTTTAGGACGTTCTCAATATTTAGTTACCTTTTTTTTTTCTTTTTTTTTTGTCATGTAGCAGACACTCTTATCCAGAGCGACTTACAGGAGCAATTAGGGTTAAGTGCCTTGCTCAAGGACACATCGACACATTTTTCACCTAGTCAGCTCAGGGATTAGAACCAGCGACCTTTCGGTTACTGGCACAACGCTCTTAACCACTAAGCTAGCTACCTACCTGCCATCAAGTGACATCCCCGGGAAAGACCGGGAACTAGACAAAAGATCCAGGGGACTATGACACAATGTCCCAAAAATGTCAAAAAAACGCAGTGGCGAACCGTTACTATTGAACCTAGGCCTTCAGAAATCTTTTAATAGCTTATGTTGTATCAAACCAAAAAATCTAGAAAAATAACAGACAACATAGCATCACTTAATGCGCTGAAATCCGAAGGGGCTGGCCAGCAGAGATAGGTGGGATAGGATGAGGGAAACCGAGGGTTGGAATCTGGAACTGGAGATGAGTGAGAGTGAAGATGCTGAGTGAGGGGTAAAATGATGGTTAAAAAAATACAAAAACAATGACACTAAAAAGGAAGGTTGTTACATCCAATGCCTGGGCTTTTTGCTCCTGTAGGTCACTCTGGATGGGCGCATCTGCTAGATGACTAAAATGTAATGTAAATGTTGAGAAGCTTCACTCCAGGTGGATTGTACGTTTAAAAGTCAATAAAAACGATTGAAAAAATTATAATTGCAACATCATCCACCTTGAAGTTGATAACAATTGCTGCTGCAGTTGTCATCACCATCGTCACAGTATTAAAACACCTGCTAGCTACTATTGTGGGAAGATTACCGCTTGCTATTGCCACTTGTTTTTTTTGTTCTGTTTCCACCCATTGCAAGTCAAAATGTTGTTGGTTCAGTCCACTCTCACTCCACAATTCTGCTCTAATACAGTTGAATGGCAGGGAAAGGGGATACCTAGTCAGTTGCACAACTGAACGCATTCAACCAAATTGTGTCTTCCCATTTAACTCAACCCCTCTTAATCTACGTCATAAAAATTATTGAAAAGATTAATTAGAAATGAAAACGAAATAAAAAAAGTCATCGGAGAAGCACCCGGAATAAACCGGGAACTACACAAAACCTCCAGGGGAGCATGACACAACGTCCTGACCACTTTAGGCGACCATTTCGTGATGCTCCAGGGACGTCCTAACGATAAATTGTTGTTTGCAAGGAACCAATCCAAACATCTAACAGCAGAATATAATTTTTCACACCAATTCTGAATACTGTATAAAACCAGAATGGTTCTAAAACAGAGCGTTGGGGAACACCATATTTAATTGGTGAATTATAAAGATCAGATACCTAATATTACATAAAACATTCTCAGTGAGAATACATGATGAACTTTATGCAATTTTTTTTTATGATCTTTGGGCTACAGAGAAACTATGCCAAAATGCCACATATTTGTATTGTCAATTATTCCAACTTAAAAAACAAAACACATAATTATATTTTACAAAAATAAACAATCATGTTATGTTTTAGGGTCAAGGCCTAGTTCCCTTTTACAAGCCTGCCTGGTTTTAATGATCCTAAAGCCATACATAATAGGATTGAAAAGTGGTGGACATATTAGAAAATAAACAAATAAAAAGTGTGACGTATAGATGGACGATGTGCAGTATCATGTCTACCTTGTAGAATCGCAAATAAACAGCCAAAGGAGAAGTTCAGCAAAGAGGCTATATGTGGTGTACAGGTGTTAAACGCTTTCTGTTTCATCTCTTTTGAAGACTTTAAACATATTTCTAGAATTCTTACATATGAGTATATGTTAGGAAATATAGTACAAGTCAAAGAAAGCACAATTACAACGAAACCCCATGTAATATTTTCGTATAATATTTGAACAAAAAAGCTTGACTACCAAGTAGTTGTCACAATACACTCTGTCTATAACATTACCACAAAATTGCAGTCGCAAACTCAGGGATATAAGGATGACATCCATAAAAAAATAATACAACCAGGACATCAGAATGAAGCCACTAATTATTTTAGGTTTCATAATATTGTTATACAGTAGAGCGGTGCTTCCCCAACCTTTTCAACCAGGCCTCCCTTCATCATTGGGGAACATGTCTTATGAGTGACTCAAACATTACAACAAAATCAAAAAACCTAGCTCAAAAACGTTAGCTGGACATTTCCAAATCAAATCCCCCCAAATATTTCACGTGCCGAAATCACCAGGTGTAGATCTTAGAGTGAAATGTTTACAACCCCTGAAACAACAATGCAGTTTTAAGAAAAATAAGTGTAATGTAAAAAATAGATAAGTAAAAAATAAAAATAAATAAAAAAGATTTAAAGAGCAGCAGTAAAATAACAGTAGCGAGGCTATATGCAGGGGGTACCGGTACAGAGTCAATGTGCGGGGGCACCGGTTAGTCGAGGCAATTGAGGTAATATGTACATGTAGGTAGAGTTAAAGTGACTATGTGTTGATAATAAACAGAGAGTGGCAGCAGCGTAAAAGAGGGGGTGGGTGGGGAAGACAATGCAAACAGTCCAGGTAAGTATTTGATTAGCTGTTCAGGATTCTTATGGCTTGGGGGTAGAAGCTGTTAAAAAGCCTTTTGGACTTAGACTTGGCGCTCCGGTATCGCTTGCCTTGCGGTAGCGGAGAGAACAGTCTATGACTAGGGTGTCTGCAGTCGTTGACAATTTTTACGGCCTTCCTCTGACACCGCTTGGTTTAGAGGTCCTGGATGGCAGGAAGCTTGGCCCCAATGATGTACTGTGCTGTACACACTACCCTCTGTAGTGCCTTGCGGTCGGAGGCCGAGCAGTTGCCATACCAGGCAGTGATGTGGACTCCAAGGAACTTGAAGCTCTCAACCTGCTCCACTACAGCCCCATCGATGAGAATGGGGGCGTGCTCGGTCCTCCTTTTCCTGTAGTCCACAATCATCTCCTTTGTCTTGATCACGTTAAGGGAGAGGTTGTTATCCTGGCACCACATGGCCAGGTCTCTGACCTCCTCCCTATAGGCTGTCTCATCATTGTCGGTGATCAGGCCTACCACTGTTGTGTCGTCGGCAAACTTAATGATGGTGTTGGAGTCATGCCTGGCCATATAGTCATTGGTGAACAAGGAGTACAGGAGGGGACTGAGCACGCACCCCTGAGGGACCCCCATGTTGAGGATCAGTGTGGCATATGTGTTGTTACCTACCCTTACCACCTGGAGGGCGGCCCGTCAGGAAGTCCAGGATCCACTTTCGGAGGGAGATGTTTAGTCCCAGGGTCCTTAGCCTAGTGATGAGGTTTGAGGGCACTATGGTGTTGAATGCTGAGCTAAAGTCAATGAATAGCATTCTCACGTAGGTGTTCCTTTTGTCCAGGTGGGAAAGGGCAGTGTGGATCTCTTGGGGCGGATCTGTGGATCTCTTGGGGCGGTATGCAAATTAGAGTGGGTCTAGGGTTTCTGGGATAATGGTGTTGATGTGAGCCATGACCAGCCTTTCAAAGCACTTCATGGCTACAGACGTGAGTGCTACGGGTCTGTAGTCATTTAGGTAGGTTACCTTAGTGTTCTTGGGCACAGGGACTATGGTGGTCTGCTTTAAACATGTTGGTATTACAGACTAAGTCAGGGACAGGTTGAAAATGTCAGTGAAGACACTTGCCAGTGTCCCGTTGGTAGGATATCCGTGATTGTAGTTATTCTATTTTGTTATCCAATGATTGTACGTTGGCTAATAGGACTGATGGTAGAGGCAGATTACCCACTCGCCGTTGAATCCATACAAGGCACGCCGACCTACATCCCCGATATCTCTGTTACTTTCTCATGCGAATGACAGGGATTTGGTCCTTGTCGGGTGTCTGAAGAAAATCCTTCGCGTCCGACTCGTTAAAGAAAAAATATGTATCCAGTAAAAGGTGGGTAATCGCTGTCCTGATATCCAGAAGCTCTTTTCGGTCATAAGAGACGGTGGCAAAAACATTATGTACAAAATAAGTTACAAATAACGCCAAAAAAAAACACACAATAGCACAATTGGTTAGGAGCCCTTAAAACGGCAGCCATCTCCTCCGGCGACATTTCTGACAAGTTACACTATAAATAGCTCTCTAAGGTCTGCAATGACTGCCAAGGAAAACTGCTGATGCACTAGCCAATTTCGAAATTGCACCTTGTGCATTCTACTATTAAAACTTTCAAGAGGAAGCTGAAAGCCTGACTGAGTTCCTTAAAATATGACTTATTACATTCACAGGCAAAATTATAAATTGATTACATGTAAAGTACACTAAATCCAAAATTTAGACAGGCCATTTCGGTTGTCGATGTGTTCAGAGAGTCCCTGGTTAAAGCCCAGGTTTGTGCAAGGTAAGGGACAGATGCAACACTGTTACACATGGCCAGAGTGAGATTCCTAAATAAAAATAGTAGTTTGGTAGGATAGTACAGCACATCAGAGGATTACACATCCTTAATGTTATGTTATTGAACAGGCTGTGTTAGTGGCCTATGATCCTTTTAAAACAATGTATGTGTGGGGACCCTCTAGCCTTGCACTCTACACTGTAGAAGAAGTATGTGACAACACCAATGGGCTGGGCATGCAACGCTATCAGATCTATCATTAACGTTTTGGCAGGCGTTTGTGTGCTATGAATATCACGTTTCAGGAGTAGACCCAGATGCAGACAGTGTCCTGGAAACAGGAGACAAAGGGCTGTGAGACAGGGGTTTGATCCTAGATACATGAAAAGTGGGATGTATACGGAGGGTACTGGTTAACAGAAGACAAACAGCAGAGGGGCTAATGATCATGGAGATGGGGAAAGGGCCAATAAACCGGAGGGAAAGTTTGCGGGACTCCACCCGGAGGGGCAGATCTTGAATGGACAGCCATACATTCTGCCCGAGATGATACCAGGGAGCCGGGGTCCAGTGGCGGTCCGCTTGTCGTCGATACCAGGAGGTGGTCTTGAGAAGAGCCAACCGGGCACTCCTCCAGGTACGACGACAGCGGTGGACAAACATCTGGGCCGAGGGTATGCCGACCTCTTCGTCTTGCTCCGGGAAGAGCGGGGGCTGATAACCCAGAGAACACTCAAAGGGCGAAAGACCCGTGGCAGAGCAGGGAAGGGTTTTGTGGGCGTGTTCGACCCACACTAGTTGCTGGCTCCAGGTGGTGGGGTTGGTGGAGACCAGGCAGTGCAGAGTCGTCTCCAGGTCTTGGTTGGCTCACTGTGACTGGCTGTTGGACTGAAGGTGGAACCGGTGGACAGGCTGGTCGACGACTCAATGAGTGTGCAGAACGCCTTCCAGAACCGGAACGAGAACTGAGGACCCTGGTCGGAGACCATGTCCACTGGGAGTCCATGGATCCAGAAGACTAGCTGCACCATGAGCTGGGCCTTCTCTTTGGCGGAGGGTAGCTTGGGGAGAGGAATTAAGTGGGCGGCTTTGGAAAACCGGTCCACAATTATCAGGATGGCAGTGTTGCCAACAGACGGGGGAAGATCTTGACAAAGTCCAGGGATATGTGAGACCAGGGACGGTGAGGAACAGGCAGAGGTTGTAGGAGACCAGCCGGTGCTTGCCGAGGGGGGTCAGGGTGCCAGGGGGGGTCAGGGTGCTCTAACCCCAGATAATGCAGAGATAAAAGTTAGCGAATCCCAGGAAACGTTGCAGCTGCACTCTGGACGTAGGCTGGGGCCAATCCACCACCGATCTCACCTTCCTGAGTTACATCTGTACACTCCCTGCTGCGATGATGTAGCCAAGGAAGGGGATGGTGGAGCGATGGAATTTGCATTTCTCTGCTTTCACAAAAAGCTGGTTCTCCAGGAGGCGTTGGAGGACCTGTCGGACATGGAACACGTGTTCTTGGGCAGAGCAGGAGAAGACGAGGTTGTCGTCGAGGTAGACAAAGACGAACCGGTTCATCATGTCGCGGAGAATATCATTAAACAGGGCCTGGAACACAGCCGGAGAGATTTTGACTGGTTCCGCCACGTAAGGGGAGAGGAAAAGTTATTCGTATGGCCCACCCGAGTACTCGCTCCTACCGGTGAGCCTGGTCTTTCAGTGGACAGGTAGACAAAAAATGACCAGTAGTCCCGCAATACAGGCAACTCTTCGTGTGAAGCCTGTATTGCCGTTCGGCTGGAGACAGCCTAGCTCTGCCTAGTTGCATCGGCTCGGGAAGAGGTGGATCGGCAGACTTCGGAGACTCTCGGGGGAACGCGAGTAGCCTCATGTTCTCTCTGCAACGGAGCCATCGGGGACTTCCGGGATGCCTCGGAGGCGAGGTGGAATCGGACTTCCTCTCCTTCATATGTTCCCATAGTCGCCCATCGATCAATGGTCAAGGCAATGAGCGAGTCGAGATCCGTCGGTAGTTCCCGGGCTGCAAGCTCGTCCTTTACATCCTCCGATGCTCTGTTCAGGAACGTGTCAAACAGCGCTTCCGGGTTCCAGACACACTCAGCTGCCAACGCTGGAGTAACTTCCGGGCAGCCTCTCTCCTGGACAATGGGAGCGTCAAAAACCTTCCTTAGCTCCTGCATGAACTCCTCCAGACTGAAGCGTACGGCCGACTGTTGTTCCCAAACTGCCGTAGCCCAGGCGAGAGCCCTCCCGGACAACAGCGTGATGAGGTACGCCATCTTAGAGCGGTCCGAGGGGAAGGAGGAGGGCTGCAGCTCGATGATGAGCGAACACTGAGCGAGAAATGTCAGACAGGTTCTCGACTCTCCAGCAAAGCGTTCCGTGGGAGGTAAGCGGGGTTCTCGGGAAACCGGGTGGCTGGGGAGGCCGCGCTGCTAACAGCCGGGTTACTGAGGGGCTGGGAGGTTACCGTCGTGGTAGGATGCCTAACAGACAACCCGCGGAATTGCTCCAGGAATGTGTTAAACGCTCGGTCATGGCGTTCGGCCAAGGTCTGGAACCCTTCCATGAGACCATGAAGCAACTCCTCGTGCCTTCCAATGGTGGCTCCATGGGAGGAGATGGCATTGCGGAGCTGGTCCAAGTCTGCTGGGTCAGTCATGGCCAATTCGTACTATCACGTTTCAGGAGAAGACCCAGATGCAGACAGTGTCGAAGTAACAAAAGTTTAATTACAAAAACGGGGCAGGCAAACAACAGATCAGGGTGTGACAATGTATTGTGCACCATGTACATGAAATAAATGGTTCAGTGAAACCAATCCAAAGCCTCTGACAAAGGAACGGTTTCCTGGACCATATGACCTAACCAGGGAAAACAGAGAATAACTCAGGACCCTAAGTCCTAGCTATAGTCTAAAACCTAGGCCCAGAGCTATTCCTGCTCAAGTAAAAGTGAAGACCCTTATTGTCACTCTAGGATATCCTAGGCCTACAGTACACTTTCAGGTCCTACACTCCCAGAGGCAATGACAGAAGGTGTGCGTCCCAAATGGCACTATATTCCCTAAATAGTGCACCACCTTTGACCAGAGGGCTCTGGTCAATATAGGGAATAGGGTACCATTTGGTATGCAGTCAAGACCAGCCGTGCCCCTCAGGTCTCTTCAGGTTAATAGCTGCATGACTAAAATGTAAATGTAAAAATGGGTATCTGGTCATCCGATTTCTCAATTAAAACGAAATACAGTATATGCAGTATATTTGTTATTATCAAGGAATTATCTGGAATTTGTTAGGACAGAATAAGCTATCCAAAATAGGCAACAGGTTTCTCTTGTGTCCCAGGTAGTTGCATTTCTGAGGAATACGAAAGCTAGTCATCTGACAGATAGCTGACACAGATATCATGTTACATAGAACGGTTGTTCCTCAGAAAACATGACATGCATCTGCATTTCAGACAGAATATAGTTTGTTTTCATGCTACAGTATTTCCCTAGATTTCTCTCTCAAAATGTCAAACAATCCCCAAGCTTGTATGTACTGTACAGGGCTTTATTTTCCATTAGTGATGGATGTAATGGTGCCAGGTGGGCTTACCTTTTACACATTTACATCAGCTTGTCAACTGTTGTCAATCGATCCAGACAGTTTTGCATTTCTAGATTTGTTACATACTTAGATACAGCAACCTCTGGCAAAACTATCAATTTAAGTAAGGAATTCAAAGTAATGAACTTCTGTTTTTTTAAATTTAAATAATGAAAATAATTTATTACCTTTGTAAAGTGTTTTTCATTATAAAATTATAATCTCAAATTGCATAAAATAAAAAACGAACTAAAAAAAGAGTACAAAATATATATATATAACCAAATCATGAAAGCAACAATCAAAGTCTAGGAGGATGGGAAGGCTTATAGAGCTGAGTCTTAAGGCCTGCTTTAAAGGCCTCAACAGTCTGAACAGCCCTGAGATTGTCAGGAAGGGAGTTCCAAAGGCGTGGTGCGTGGGAGCAAAAGAAACGGCCCTCCATTGTGTGTATCCAGGTCCTGCCGGCATTCAGCAGCTTGACGTGGTTTAAACTTAGGGTGCGTGGAGGTTCATAGGGGGAGAGTAGGTCTGACAGGTAGGCTGGTCCAATTCAATTTAGGGCTTTGTAGACAAGGAAGTTAATTTTAAAGTACATTCTTTGAGGGACAGATAGTCAATAGAGATCAGCAAGTGAATAAAAGGTAAATGACAATACTATACATATCAGCAAATGTTTTACGTCTGATTTTCACCATCCTCACCCCCATTCATTATTGCACCTATAAGTAACAAAACACACAAGTCAACATCACAAAAATCGAACAATCAGGACAGAAAAGGTCACACTAATGTTTAGCTTATGTTTTAGGGTACAGACCTACAGGTAGTATGTGTTTACAAGCCTGTCTGATTTTAGCCATCCTAACTCCATACACAATAGGATTTAAAAGTGGCTGGCACATCAGAAAGTACACTGATAAAATAGTGAGAAGTACAGTTGGAACATTTCTCATAGGCCTATCAAATCTACTCTGGAGCACATTTAAAAAACAGCCGAATGAGAAGTTGAGCAGCGAAGCCAGATGAGGAGTACAGGTGCTGAAAGCTTTCTGTCTGGTCTCGATGGAAGATTACAAACAAATAGTCAGAATCTTAATATAAGAGGACACAATAGTAATTAAAGGGACAGCGACAGTCAAAACAATACCACAGAGTTCATAGATGTTATTAACTGTCGTGTCTGATGTTGAACAGCTGAGTTTTACTACCAGGTAGTTGTCACAATACACTTTGTCTATAACATTCCCACACAATTGCAAACAAATAGTTAAAGACAGTGTTATGATGCTTCTTGCAAAAGAGTACAACCATATTACACAAATAAAATACACACCCTGTTGGGTGTAATGATGTTGTTATACTGTAGTGGATAACATATAGCAAGGTACCTGTCATAGGACATGGCTGCTAAATTGCTGAATTCAATAGTTCCATATGTGTACATGCAAAAGATCTGTAGGTAACAGTACACAGCGGAAACTGCATGGTCATCTGAAACCAAATGAGTCATGAGAGCAGGAAACAAACCAGCAATATAATACAAGTCATTCACAAACAAACTGCACAGAAACAGATACATGGGTTCATGAAGGCTTCTCTCCATACAAATAACTACAATAAGCACTGTGTTGAGACGTATAAGACAGTTATTATAATGAAATACAAGTACTTTAAATGTCCACTGTCACTATATCCAGCTAGTATAAATGACATGAATTGTGTTGAGTTCTCCATTTTCTTAATAGTACCTATAGAAGTATATAAAAATAAAAACAGGATTTAAGTCTAGATCACCTGTTATATTTCTCCAGGCTTCCGTTATGTGGACATACAGTGAGGGGAAAAAAGTATTTGATCCCCTGCTGATTTTGTACGTTTGCCCACTGACAAAGAAATTATCAGTCTATAATTTTAATGGTAGATTTATTTGAACAGTGAGAGACAGAATAACAACAAAAAAATCCAGAAAAACGCATGTCAAAAAAGTTATGAATTGATTTGCATTTTAATGAGGGAAATAAGTATTTGACCCCTCTGCAAAACATGACTTAGTACTTGGTGGCAAAACCCTTGTCAGCAATACCAGAGGTCAGACGTTTATTGTAGTTGGCCACCAGGTTTGCACACATTTCAGGAGGAATTTTGTCCCACTCCTCTTTGCATATCTTCTCCAAGTCATTAAGGTTTCGAGGCTGACATTTGGCAACTCGAACCTTCAGCTCCCTCCACAGATTTTCTATGGGATTAAGGTCTGGAGACTGGCTAGGCCACTCCAGGACCTTAATGTGCTTCTTCTTGAGCCACTCCTTTGTTGCCTTGGCCGTGTATTTTGGGTCAATGTAATGCTGGAATACCCATCCACGACCCATTTTCAATGCCCTGGCTGAGGGAAGGAGGTTCTCACCCAAGATTTGACGGTACATGGCCCCGTCCATCGTCCATCGATGCGGTGAAGTTGTCCTGTCCCCTGAGCAGAAAAAGACCCACAAAGCATAATGTTTCCACCTCCATGTTTGACTGTGGGGATGGTGTTCTTGGGGTCATAGGCAGCATTCCTCCTCCTCCAAACACTGCGAGTTGAGTTGAGGCCAAAGAGCTCGATTTTGGTCTCATCTGACCACAACACTTTCACCCAGTTCTCCTCTGAATCATTCAGATGTTCATTGGCAAACTTCAGACGGGCATGTATATTTGCTTTCTTGAGCAGGGGGATCTTGCGGGCGCTGCAGGATTTCAGTCCTTCATGGTGTAGTGTGTTATCAATTGTTTTCTTGGTGACTATGGTCCCAGCTGCCTTGAGATCATTGACTAGATCCTCCTGTGTAGTTATGGGCTGATTCCTCACCGTTCTCATGATCATTGCAACTCCACGAGGTGAGATCTTGCATGGAGCCCCAGGCCGAGGGAGATTGACAGGTCTTTTGTGTTTTTTCCATTTGAGAATAATCACACCAACTGTTGTCACCTTCTCACCAAACTTCTTGGCGATGGTCTTGTAGCCCATTCCAGCCTTGTGTAGGTCTACAATCTTGTCCCTGACAACCTTGGAGAGCTCTTTGGTCTTGGCCATGGTGGAGAGTTTGGAATCTGATTGATTGATTGCTTCTGTGGACAGGTGTCTTTTATACAGGTAACAAGCTGAGATTAGAAGCACTCCCTTTAAGAGTGTGCTCCTAATCTCAGCTCGTTACCTGTATAAAAGACACCTGGAAGCCAGAAATCTTTCTGATTGAGAGGGGGTCAAATACTTATTTCCCTCATTAAAATGCAAATCAATTTATAACATTTTTGACATGCGTTTTTCTGGATTTTTGTTGTTGTTATTCTGTCTCTCACTGTTCAAATATACCTACCATTAAAATTATAGACTGATAGTTTCTTTGTCAGTGGGCAAACGTACAAAATCAGCAGGGGATCAAACACTTTTTTCCCTCACTGTAGGTGTTCCTTTTGTCCAGGTGGGAAAGGGCAATGTGGAGTGCAATTGAGATTGCGTCATCTGTGGATCTGTTGGGGCAGTATGCGAATTGGAGTGGGTCTAGGGTTTCCGGGATGATGGTGTTGATGTGAGCCATGACCAGCCTTTCAAAGCACTTCATTGCTACCGACGTGAGTGCTATGGAGCAGTAGTCATTTAGGCAGGTTACCTTCGCTTTCTTGGGCACAGGGACTATGGTGCTCTGCTTGAAACATGTAGGTATTACAGTCTCGGTCAGGGAGAGTTTGAAAATGTCAGTGAAGACACTTGCCAGCTGATCCGCACATGCTCTGAGTACAGGTACTGGTAATCCGTCTGGCCCCTCAGCCTTGTGAATGTTGACCTGTTTAAAGGTCTTGCTCTCATCGGCTGCGTATTACCAGTAGGATTCAATCTTAGTCCTGTAGTGACGCTTTGCTTGTTTGATTGTTCATCTGAGGGCATTTGTGGGATTTCTTATAAGCGTCCGGATTAGTGTCCCGCTCCTTGAATGCGGAAGCTCTAGCCTTTAGCTCAATGAGGATGTTGCATGTAGTCCATGGCTTCTGGTTGGGTTATGTACGTACGGTCATTGTTGGGACGACGTCGTCGATGCACTTATTGATGAAGCCGGTGACTGAGGTGGTATACTCCTCAATGCCATTGGATGAATCCCGGAACATATTCTAGTCTGTGCTAGCAAAACAGTCCTGTAGCGTAGCGTCCGCGTCATCTGATAACTTCCATATTGAGCGAGTCACTGGTACTTCTTGCTTTAGTTTTGCTTGTAAGCAGGAATCAGGAGGATAGAACTATGGTCAGATTTGTCAAATGGAGGGCGAGGGAGAGCTTTGTACGTGTCTCTGTGTGTGGAGTAAAGGTGGTCTAGAGTTATTTTTTTCTCTGGTTGCACATGTGGTTGCACATTAGATAAAACTGATTTAAGTTTGCCTGCATTAAAGTCCCCGGCCACTAGGAGTGCCGCTTCTGGATGAGCATTTTTTTGATTGCTTATAGCCTTATACAGCTCGTTGAGTGCGGTCTTAGTGCCATCGTCGGTTTTTGATGGTAAATAGACGGCTACGAAAAATATAGATGAAAACTCTCTTGGTAGATGAGGTACTCTACCTCATGTGCGCAATATATCGAGATTACCTTACTTTTAGTTATCGCGTACAAGCTGTTATTGACAAATAGACACACACCCCCACCCTTTGTCTTACCAGACGTAGCTGTTCTGTCCTGCCGATGAACGGAAAACCCAGCCAACTGTGTATTACCCACGTCGTCGTTCAGCCACGACTCGGTGAAACATATGATATTAAGGTTTTTACTGTCCCGTTGGTAGGATAGTCTCGAACGGAGCTCATTAAGTTTATTCTCCAGTGATTGCACGTTGGCTAGTAGAACGGATGGTAGAGGCGGGTAACCCACTCGCAGACGAATTCTCACAAGGCACCATAATCTCCGCCCAATGTATTTCCTTAATGCGAATGACGGGGATTTGGGCCTTGACTGGGAGCAACATTATATCAAAGCACACCTCCAAGACACAAATATCATTAGCTGTTAACAAATAATAACACTACCACTACATCAGAGAGGGAAGGGCCAACGAAGCTACAATATGTCAATCCAACTCAAGATGCAAGGTTTGTCCAATGACAAGTGTAAATCATTTGATTTACTGCCTGAGGTTATACATACCCTACTTTGTGCCATTGCTAAAACAATAATTAATACTACCATAAGACAGTAAAAATACACAATTTTGAATTGTCCGAATGTGAATATAGACTATTATTTTGTCAGAATATGAATATATAATATATGTTAAACTTGGATCAAAAAAATGTAGTGATTAATTTAAATAGAAATTCAGAATATGATATTTCTCTTCAGTATTCTTGTATCTTGTTTATGCACGTTATATCAGTCTAAATGTGTAGACTACATTTAACCATACTTTCTAGTTACATGCATATTATTGTTATTGCATCAATGAAACAAATAATTTTCTTCCAAAGTGGTCGTGACTATCCATTTACTTTGAGATACATTGAGGAGGCCTGGTTATAAGCACATAGATGTGTTATCACAACTAAAATAAAATAACCTAAAAAATACTTTATTTTTGGATTCGTGTATGTGGAACCAGCGGCCAAATGATTGAAGACCGATATTCTGACGTTTTTTGACATCGCAATGTGAGTTTTTATTAGAGTCAGTATAGCAATGTAACGTTATTGATCTGTCAGTTTTCCTATATAATTCCCTACTTTTCCCACTGACACGGTATAAACAGCTCTGCAGGCTTCACTGTTATGGTACACAGTCAGTACACAACACTATGCTCATCATGTCTTAGCAGGATCAGATGGTGACAGGTGTCCCAGCAGGGTCAGACAGCCAGGGAAGACCAGTCTACAGAGCTGAGGTGAATTTAGCAGTATATTATAACAATCAGTGAATGGATACAAAGTTCCATCTTGAGTTGATGGGTAGGCTACTGTCTGAGATCTGGGAATAATGGTCATTTCAATTATTGAACCATTGATTCTATTATATAATGTATAAATTTACACCAAGGCAATTCTTTGTCATGCCTCTTCTGAGTAGGCTCAGATGGTGACGGGGGTCTCAGCAGGGTCAAGCAGCCAGGGAAGACCAGTATGTGACCGCTGAGGTGAACTTTTTCAGATGCAACACTTTCTTCTCTCGGTGCAGCAAGCACTGGACAAGCCAGAAGCTTCAAAGATTGAAACCATTTTAAGGCAGTCTGACAAACCTCTAAAGTTGATTTCCTAACTGTTTCAAGGGTTGATAGAGGCTTTTCCTGATGACACAAAACTGTGAGGAAGACCTGGGAGACGCTTTTGATGATGATGAATGGATACAGATATGTTTGAATGCCTTCATGTTCATATAATCTCAGACCTAAATTATTGCAGTTTAAGACCATCCATAGAACATACTATATGACAGTTAAACTGAATATCATGCACAGAAATGTAATTCCTCCGCTGGAGTTGTAAAACACAACAGGGGACATATTTGCATATGTTATGATCTTGTGAAGGCTGGCTGATTTCTGGCAAAGACTATGTTCTTTTGTCTCTGCATGTCTACAGATTCTCACTTTCCCTGTTTTTGTTTGCTTGGAAATGTTGATACTGGAGGCTGTTATAAGAAGAAACTGTGTAACCGTAGCATTTATAGTAGCTAAGAAATGCATTGCCATAAAATTGGAAGGTTGGTTATCCTACAACAATGTCACAATGGATGGCAGAAATGTCAAATCATGTTTCACTAGATTTGATTTATTACTAGATTAAGGGTATACTCTGCAACTTTGATAAGGTCTGGGTGCCTTATGGAATACTGTATGACAAAAGGTGTCTGTAATGAAAACATTAGATTTTCTTTAGTCAAGCAGTCACAAATATACCTTTTTTTTATGGCACACGAGACACCTATCTGATTTGCGCCTGTCTCAGTGGACTAATCCATTGAGGAGGCCACAGGGATGCCACGGTCCAAGAATATGGGGATTGTGGCTCAGACGCATAAGGCACGTCTCTCTCCAGAATGCGCTCTCTCCTGCCATTTAGTGGGTATTCAGTGTTTCATAACTTGATTGTGTGCATTGTTTGCTATGTCTATCAATACCCCATTACAAATAGCACCAGTAGTAGCCTACATTTAACATTAATTCCCATCATTTCTAATCTGCAAGGTTTATTTCTGTTAATGCATTATATATTATTATTAAGGTCATTTACCATTCTCAATGTCAGAGTGGACATGTGTTTTGCAGAACTCACAACCTATACTACACTTGTGAGAAACCAGTTATTGTTTATTTTATTCCTTTTAACGAGTCTTGTCAATTTATTCATCATTTTTTGTTTGAAACTGTCCTGTCAATGTTGAGTAAGGACTCGCACCTGATTAACCATATAGAAGTAGGACTAGTCTACCTAGCCTGCGTGCAAATGTAGGCCTATAAATGTGCCCATTTGGGGATGTCTGATAGTATATCTGATTGTCTTAACTCACCACCACTAATGAGCTGTGGAGCTTCTCAAAGTAAATTTTCTTCACCTCAAACAGCAAGTAAATAAAGTATGTTTTTAGAATCAAATGAGAATGACAATAGTTCCTCAAAGTATTTGAACAATATTTCCATCTCTCTCCCTTCGATAACCACTCGGCATGAAAGGGAAAGATATAATGACCTGATCCAGTGGAAACATAATAAAATACCTGACCCAGTTGATAGTTGATACAATGTCTTGAGTTCGTTGCATACAGGTCATGCGTAGACAACATGATTCATAGGATATGTATTTTTATCAGGATATTTTCTGCCTGCAGGCTGCAATGTTTTTACGTGTTGGCTTTTTGTAGGCTATTTTTATATAGTTGGCAATGGCAATAAAAGTTACTTTTTTTTATTTGTATAATTTTCATTTAGATTAAGATTGTAGATTAACCACAGACAATGATTTTGAGATACAAAGACTATTATAAATTAAAAGATTTTCCACGATAATGTGCATATGAAAATTATAACTGGTATGCAGACTGGTAGAAATGGTAAGAAAAATTCACATGTTTAGAAATGTTGACAAATCGATTGGTCGAAAGAAAAGACTACTCTTGGTTGACCAAGATTATTTTTGGTCGGGTAAGCACTAGCAGAAATGCAGGAAATTAGCATTAGATGCCCCCCAAAAATTTGGGAGGACACCAAGACCCCCTGCCAGGTGTTGTTATTTTTGTTGACTTCTGATATCAGGAAGTCTCCCTGCTATGTAAGATTATGTAACTAACGTTTCACATCAATGATTTTATGTGCTTTACATTTTCTAAAAACTGCCCTTCGGATCTGCTGGAGGTTAAGTCCATATATGACAGGGTTTAAGACAGGTGGTACAACAAGGAATTGTACAGCCATTGCATTACGCATATTTACTGTAATATTGACATTACTATACCACCCTTGCAGAGTGTCAAACAGGGTCACTGTGATGTAAATAACCATTGTTATTAAATGTGGCACACATGTCTGTGTGAACTTAATCCTTCCCTTAGCTGACTTTACACAAGTCCTTACAATCTGACAGTAAGAAAATACAATTAAAAATAACTGTAAAACATGAACACATATTATACATTTGTTCAGAATCTGATTGATGGTAATGTCATAACATGCATGTTTCAGTATAGATGGAACGTCACAGAATATTTTATCAATGCGAGATCCACACAAAGGAATTCTGACGGCTAAACTAAGTGATATGAGTCCTATAAATAAAGGATAACACCAAGAAAATAAAAGTAACTTTCTAACAGTTAAAGATGTCACAATGTTATGGTATAGTAGTGGTCTGCATATTGCCACATACCTGTCGTAAGACATCACTGTTAGAGTAGAAATTTCACACAGGAGAGATGTGTATATTACATAGGCTTGAGTAAAACATCCACCATAAGATATCACCTGAACATCTGACTGAAGGTCGAGTAAGAACTTGGGGTAGAAACCAGCAGTTCCATACAATCCATTGACACATAGACTACACAGAAATATATACATAGGCTCATGGAGGCCTTTCTCCTGAATGATTGTTATGATCAGAGTCAAATTCACAGTGATGATGAGAAGGTATGTGATAAGAGACAAGATAAAATAGACCGATTTGTTGTTAAATGTCTCTTGTAAGCCAAAGAGATAAAATAACTTGACTTGGGTTGAGTTCCCCATATCTTTTGTTAATTTTCTTCCTTTGGTCAATGCAGCAATTCTTAGTCCTTACAAGGCTTGAGTGTGTATGGATGTGAATGAATTCAAGTGTGAATCATTTGATTCTGTTTAGGCTCAGACTAAACACAATAGTTTTAACAAAACAAATTCACATCCTCCCTCAAACTCTTATTCCAAAAAAATTAAGATCCCGATAATGTCCGTACATTATCAGACTTCTGAGGTGTGAAAGAATTGAAGAGACTTGTGTCCATGAAATGTATTGCTTGACAGAGGGATAGTGCTCCAATTACTTGTCCTGCTAGCCTCTAAATATATCATAGTGTATGCTCACATGGGATTGTAGTTTCAGTGTCAACATGTATCCAATCCATAGAGATGGATCTATATTTAGTTTATAACAAGCAACTCATTTGATTCTATTTACTCTATTGATGTATTAACCCAGCAAACAGGGGACGTCCCAGGCCCGGCGCCACGAGGGTGCAAAAGTGGGCAATGACCCCTTAGTTTGAATATTGTGCCCCCTCAGTTTTGTATCCCTATTCTGTCCCACAATCTGCCCCCTCCGTCATGCCCAACCAATTTGTTGTGTATGCTTCATTCATGCATCTCCCTTGCAAGAATCACACGTACATCATACACGTTTTACCAGTTGAAGAAAAACAAATTTTGATTGGCCTTCACAGTAGAAGGCTGGGGTCAATTTACTTTCAGGTTTACTTTCAAAGTTATGTAGTAAGAAGAAAAAATAAATAATTCACCTTGCAGCTGGATGGAATTTAGCTAATGTTAACAGTTAGGTAGGTAGCTGATAGCATGATGGATATTAGAAAGTGGCTTCGCCAGGGCACAACGGCAGCATCGGATCAAAGTGTAGGGGAGGGGGAGAAGCCTGCCAGAGAGGCCAAGCAGACGCTAATCACAGAGGCCAAGGCTGCCGAGCCAGCAGCAAAGGCACCTACGCAACCGTCTTGCAGCCTGGTGACATAGGAGGTAACCAACCCGAGGAGGGGCCTGCAGCCGCCAAAACCGAATCTAGCAGCAGCACCGCCAGGATATTACAAGCACCGACACCTCCGTTAGTGCCTGACGACCTCGGTGATGAGGAGCCAGCGCAGGTTTGTCTGGGGAAATACCCAACCAGCCTTTACTGTGGGAGAAAACGTGCATTTTGTAGCACGTGGTTCAAAGGCAGAGAGTGGCTGGAATATTCCTGCCAGTCAAATGCAGCTTTCTGCTATCCTTGTCGAAAATGTAACATCGGCTCCAATGCTAACGCCGATAAGGCATTCATCCGAACTGGATATAATAACTGGCGACATGCCATTGATAGCAACAAGGGACTGGGGAGGCACGCATCAAACAAAGAACATTTGAAATGCATGGTACTTTGGACAGAAAGACACGCAAGGAATGCGCTGGGAGCGGAAATTTCAACACTTGTGAATTCTGCTCAGCTTGCAAGAAATCGTATGTATTTGTCATTGATTGTGGACATTGTGGAATTTCTTGCTGTCAACAAGCTTCCTCTCAGGGGAACTTTGGATGCGATGGATGCAAGAGGGGAGGGGGCGTTGGAATATTCCTGGCGATATTAGATTATACGCTCAGGAAAGACAAGGAACTTGCTAGTGCCTTAAGCACAATTCCCCGCAATGCCACATACACATCTCATGACATCCAGAACGAAATAATTGGGCTCATGAGTGAGGTAGTCACAGAGGAAATTGTAAAAGAAGTAGGTGATTCATGGTACACACTTAAAGTGGATGGGACTAAAGACCCAACCGGGTGTGAGAACATTTCAATTGTATTCCATTACGTGGACGAAAACAATCGTGTTTCTGAGCGGCTACTCTCAATGGCAATGAGTATGTGATGCTTTATCGCTGACTAACATGGTCCTGTCAGAGCTAACAAATCTTGGCCTTAGCACCGAGAAGATTATTAGTCAATGTTATGATGAGGGCCAGTGTGATGTTTGGTAAACATGGGGGCATGCAAAGGATAGTGCAGGACAAGCTGAATCGGGAAGTGCCGTATGTGCATTGCTTTAACCACCAGCTGCATTGAGTCATAGTGCACGCTATGTCCTCTGAGGGTGCATTGGATGACTTTTTTAATGTGTGTAATTCCCTTTACAAGTTTCTCAGGAAACCAACTGTGGCTGCGCAAAATACGGGAGAGAAACTGAAACGGCTGTTTGAGCAGCGATGGACTGGTCATCTAGCCACGGTGAGTGTCATTATAAAATCTCTGGACAGCATCATCCACCTGCTCAGAGAAATCGAGAGTACCCACACCTATGGTACAGAAGTGCGACTTGAGGCTGTGGGCCTATTGAAATGTCACGCCCTGGCTCTGGGGACTCTTAAATGTTGAGCCAGGGTGTGGAGTCTCTATGTTATAGTTTTTTATGTTTTGTTCTAGATCGTTTAGATCTATGTTGGCCAGGGTGGTTCCCAATCAGAGGCAGCTGTATCTCGTTGTCTCTGATTGGGGACAATACTTAGGCAGTCTGTTTGGCACTAGTCAGTGTGGGATCTTGTTCTGTAAGGTTTGTTTTGTGTTAACCTAGGACTTCACGTATCGTTGGTTTGTTGTTTTTGTTTGTGTGTCAGTACAAATAAAATGTACGCTTATCACGCTGCGCCTTGGTCCGTGTCTTCTGTATACGAGCGTGACAGAAGATCCCACCGACCCTGGATCAAGCAGCGTGACGAGGAGAGAGGATGGACGTGGGAGGAGATGAGAGAGAGTCTGGCTAGAGGGATGGAGGCCATGAGCACAGGGGAGAGACAAGCCCAAACATTTTTTAGGGGGGGGGGGGGGGGGGGGGCTCACGCCGTGGACGACGAGGCAGCAGGAGGCCGCGATAGAGCGGTTCAGCCGGTTAGCAGAGGAGGCCGCCAGATTAAGGGGGTCATTGGTGCAGAGGGAGCAGAAGGAAGGTGTAGATGCACGCCGAGAGGAGCTGGTTAGGCAGCAATCAAGTGGTGCGTGTCGCCAGTCCGGTCCGGCCCGTTCCTGATTCCCGCACTAAGCTAGTGGTGGGTGTTCCCAGCCCAGTCCGGCCCATTCGTGCTCCCCGCACCAAGCCAGTGGTGCGCGTCGTCAGCCCAGTCCGGCCCGTTCCTGCTCCCCGCACCAAGCCAGTGGTGCGTGTTCCCAGTCCAGCCCGGCCTGTTCCTGCCCCTCGCACCAAGCCAGTGGTGCGCGTCGCCAGCCCGGTCCGGCCTGTTCCTGTCCCTCGCACCAAGCCAGTGGTGCGCGTCGCCAGTCCGGTACGGCCCGTTCCTGCTCCCCGCACCAAGCCAGTGGTGCGCGTCGTCCGATTTCTCAATTAAAACGAAATACAGTATATGCAGTATATTTGTTATTATCAAGGAATTATCTGGAATTTGTTAGGACAGAATAAGCTATCCAAAATAGGCAACAGGTTTCTCTTGTGTCCCAGGTAGTTGCCTTTCTGAGGAATAAGAAAGCTAGTCATCTGACAGATAGCTGGCACACAGATATCATGTTACATAGAACGGTTGTTCCTCAGAAAACATGACATGCATCTGCATTTCAGACAGAATATAGTTTGTTTTCATGCTACAGTATTTCCTTAGATTTCTCTCTCAAAATGTCAAACAATCCCCAAGCTTGTATGTACTGTACAGGGCTTTATTTTCCATTAGTGATGGATGTAATGGTGCCAGGTGGGCTTACCTTTTACACATTTACATCAGCTTGTCCACTGTTGTCAATCGATCCAGACAGTTTTGCATTTCTAGATTTGTTACAGACTTAGATACAGCAACCTCTGGCAAAACTATCAATTTAAGTAAGGAATTCAAAGTAATGAACTTCTGTTTTTTTAAATTTAAATAATGAAAATAATTTATTACCTTTGTAAAGTGTTTTTCATTATAAAATTATAATCTCAAATTGCATAAAATAAAAAACGAACTAAAAAAAGAGTACAAAATATATATAACCAAATCATGAAAGCAACAATCAAAGTCTAGGAGGATTGGAAGGCTTATAGAGCTGAGTCTTAAGGCCTGCTTTAAAGGCCCCAACAGTCTGAACAGCCCTGAGATTGTCAGGAAGGGAGTTCCAAAGGCGTGGTGCGTGGGAGCAAAATAAACGGCCCTCCATTGTATGTATCCAGGTCCTGCCGGCATTCAGCAGCTTGACGTGGTTTAAACTTAGGGTGCGTGGAGGTTCATAGGTCTGACAGGTAGGCTGATCCAATTCAATTTAGGGCTTTGTAGACAAGGAAGTTAATTTTAAAGTACATTCTTTGAGGGACAGATAGTCAATAGAGATCAGCAAGTGAATAAAAGGTAAATGACAATACTATACATATCAGCAAATGTTTTACAAGTCTGATTTTCACCATCCTCACCCCCATTCATTATTGCACCTATAAGTAACAAAACACACAAGTCAACATCACAAAAATCGAACAATCAGGACAGAAAAGGTCACACTAATGTTTAGCTTATGTTTTAGGGTACAGACCTACAGGTAGTATGTGTTTACAAGCCTGTCTGATTTTAGCCATCCTAACTCCATACACAATAGGATTTAAAAGTGGCTGGCACATCAGAAAGTACACTGATAAAATAGTGAGAAGTACAGTTGGAACATTTCTCATAGGCCTATCAAATCTACTCTGGAGCAGATTTAAGAAACAGCCGAATGAGAAGTTGAGCAGCGAAGCCAGATGAGGAGTACAGGTGCTGAAAGCTTTCTGTCTGGTCTCGATGGAAGATTTCAAACAAATAGTCAGAATCTTAATATAAGAGAACACAATAGTAATTAATGGGACAGCGACAGTCAAAACAATACCACAGAGTCCATAGATGTTATTAACTGTCGTGTCTGATGTTGAACAGCTGAGTTTTACTACCAGGTAGTTGTCAAAATACACTTTGTCTATAACATTCCCACACAATTGCAAACAAATAGTTAAAGACAGTGTTATGATGCTTCTTGCAAAAGAGTACAACCATATTACACAAATAAAATACACACCCTGTTGGGTGTAATGATGTTGTTGTACTGTAGTGGATAACATATAGCAAGGTACCTGTCATAGGACATGGCTGCTAAATTGCTGAATTCAATAGATCCATATGTGTACATGCAAAAGATCTGTAGGTAACAGTACACAGCGGAAACTGCATGGTCATCTGAAACCAAATGAGTCATGAGAGCAGGAAACAAACCAGCAATATAATACAAGTCATTCACAAACAAACTGCACAGAAACAGATACATGGGTTCATGAAGGCTTCTCTCCATACAAATAACTACAATAAGCACTGTGTTGAGACGTATAAGACAGTTATTATAATGAAATACAAGTACTTTAAATGTCCACTGTCACTATATCCAGCTAGTATAAATGACATGAATTGTGTTGAGTCGTCCATTTTCTTAATAGTACCTATAGAAGTATATAAAAATAAAAACAGGATCTAAGTCTAGATCACCTGTTATATTTCTCCAGGCTGCCGTTATGTGGACATACAGTGAGGGGAAAAAAGTATTTGATCCCCTGCTGATTTTGTACGTTTGCCCACTGACAAAGAAATTATCAGTCTATAATTTTAATGGTAGATTTATTCGAACAGTGAGAGACAGAATAACAACAACAAAATCCAGAAAAACGCATGTCAAAAAAGTTATGAATTGATTTGCATTTTAATGAGGGAAATAAGTATTTGACCCCTCTGCAAAACATGACTTAGTACTTGGTGGCAAAACCCTTGTCAGCAATACCAGAGGTCAGACGTTTATTGTAGTTGGCCACCAGGTTTGCACACATTTCAGGAGGAATTTTGTCCCACTCCTCTTTGCATATCTTCTCCAAGTCATTAAGGTTTCGAGGCTGACATTTGGCAACTCGAACCTTCAGCTCCCTCCACAGATTTTCTATGGGATTAAGGTCTGGAGACTGGCTAGGCCACTCCAGGACCTTAATGTGCTTCTTCTTGAGCCACTCCTTTGTTGCCTTGGCCGCGTATTTTGGGTCAATGTAATGCTGGAATACCCATCCACGACCCATTTTCAATGCCCTGGCTGAGGGAAGGAGGTTCTCACCCAAGATTTGACGGTACATGGCCCCGTCCATCGTCCATCGATGCGGTGAAGTTGTCCTGTCCCCTGAGCAGAAAAAGACCCACAAAGCATAATGTTTCCACCTCCATGTTTGACTGTGGGGATGGTGTTCTTGGGGTCATAGGCAGCATTCCTCCTCCTCCAAACACTGCGAGTTGAGTTGAGGCCAAAGAGCTCGATTTTGGTCTCATCTGACCACAACACTTTCACCCAGTTCTCCTCTGAATCATTCAGATGTTCATTGGCAAACTTCAGACGGGCATGTATATTTGCTTTCTTGAGCAGGGGGATCTTGCGGGCGCTGCAGGATTTCAGTCCTTCATGGTGTAGTGTGTTATCAATTGTTTTCTTGGTGACTATGGTCCCAGCTGCCTTGAGATCATTGACTAGATCCTCCTGTGTAGTTATGGGCTGATTCCTCACCGTTCTCATGATCATTGCAACTCCACGAGGTGAGATCTTGCATGGAGCCCCAGGCCGAGGGAGATTGACAGGTCTTTTGTGTTTTTTCCATTTGAGAATAATCACACCAACTGTTGTCACCTTCTCACCAAACTTCTTGGCGATGGTCTTGTAGCCCATTCCAGCCTTGTGTAGGTCTACAATCTTGTCCCTGACAACCTTGGAGAGCTCTTTGGTCTTGGCCATGGTGGAGAGTTTGGAATCTGATTGATTGATTGATTCTGTGGACAGGTGTCTTTTATACAGGTAACAAGCTGAGATTAGAAGCACTCCCTTTAAGAGTGTGCTCCTAATCTCAGCTCGTTACCTGTATAAAAGACACCTGGGGCCTCATGTACAAAGACTTGCGTTGAATTCATACTAAAACATTGCGTACGGACAAAGCCATAAATGTGCGTACGCACCAAAAAAATCTGATGTATGAATCTCTGCGTACGCAGCATTCCACATACATTCTCTTTGTACATCCCAATCAACGCGAAATTGAGCGCACATGCACGAGCACCACACCACACCCTGTCTCCTCCCTCAATTAAATCAATTTAAATATGGTAATTAGTCCAATTTGGCAAAAGAAACCTGCAAGAACATGGCTAAAGCAAGCAAGAAACGAAATTTCACTGAAAACGAATTAGAGGTGCTACTATCAGAGGTAGAAACAAGAAAAAATATTTTATTTGGAAATCTGTCCTCTGGAGTTAATAAGAAAATAAAGAAAAAAGAGTGGGCGAGTTTGTCTGATGCCGTCAACGCGGTGGGATCTGAGAGTCGCACCGTAAATGAACTGAAGAAGAAATGGTCAGACATAAAGGTGGAAGTTAAGCGGAGAACTGCTGCGCACCAACAAAGTGTGGGCAGAACAGGCGGTGGTACAGGGACCGATGAACTTGCACCCTTTGATCAGAGAGTTGCCTCAATTGTAGGAGACACGTTAATCTCTGGAATCGTATCCGCTGATGTAGGAGACTCGGATATACTACAGGACTGCCAGCAAGGTGACTCAGATTTATTTCCTTAACTTTGATATACATAGCCAGCCACCGTTTAATTTTAAAATGCATGCAATATAGCAAAAGGTACACCAGAGATTTCACGTATCCACTGCTTTTATTGCAAATGCGTGTACCCATTAATAAGGAACAGACTCAAATTACTGTTAAGATGTGCCTGTGTTTAATTGGACTTAGGAACCGCAGGAACGTGCACTGGCACGCACTCAGAGTCCGCACCACCTGAGCAGCCAGAGCCCATTCAGTCCAGCGTCTCCCGTGTCTCTAATGTTCCCCCCAGTGCTGAAGCCCGTCCATCTGGCCGTGTCTTGACGCATGCTGTTCTGGAGTCACAACAACAAATTGTTAGGGCCATTGAAGAAATGAACAGTCACCTTAAAAATGTCACTGACGCACTCACAGAAATAAGCCATTCATTAAAAGAATTGGTCAAAAAATGAACTTTGTGTCTGAGTACCATTTATATTGTCGCAATTACACGTTGACGGGCCTGAATGGCTTGTTGATTGTGCTGCACATATACTGGTCCTGGGTCAGGGTCATCTGGCGGTGCCCCCACCTCACCAAGGGGTATGCCATGCCTGTGCGCGACATTGTGCAGCACTCCACAGGCCAGTATGATGCGGCAAACCTTGTCAGGGCGGTATAACAGCATCCCCCCGGTCCTGTCAAGGCAGCGCCACCGACATTTCAGCTGCCCAATCGCCCGCTCCACAACTGACCGAGTGCGGGAATGGGCATCATTGTATCTGCGCTCTCGGTCAGTTTGTGGGTTGGTGAGGGGGGTTAACAGCCACGTCTTTAGTGGATAACCACTGTCTCCTGATGGGCAGTAATAATAATTACAGACACAAACATTTTACTTTTAGATAGAACCATACATTTAAATGCATAACTTACCAAGTAGCCACCCATCGCGCACCCTGCCAGCTTGGAGTCTCATCCCAACCATGCTGTTTGTAAGGATATATGAATCATGGGTTGACCCAGGCCACCTTGCCACAATATTTGTTAGGCGCATTTGTGCATCACATATAATCTGCACATTTATTGAATGGAAATGTTTCCGATTCACATATGCAAATTCGTCTTCAGATGGCGCCTTTATAGCAATATGTGTGCAGTCGATCGCTCCGATTACATTAGGAAAACCGGCTATCGCTGCAAATTGCGCTTTGATGTTTGGCTGGTCACCTGCATCGTATGGGAACGTTATATACCTGGTAGACAAGCGGATGATGCCGTCCCAAACAGGTGGCATTGCACGGCTCAAACACGACTGGCTTATTCCTTAGCGGTCTGCCAGTTCTCTTTGGAAAGAACCGGTTGCTAGGAAACCAAGTGTAGTAAGCACCTGTAAAGGAACGGGTAATGCGTGGCTCCTCACTGTCTCTCTTTCCAAATTCGGACCCAACTCAGCGCAGAGCTCCAAGAGTATAGCCCTTGGAAATCTGAAACGGCTGATGAGCCAGTCATCGTCGTGGGCCAGAAAATCACCGTGGTCCCTAAAAACTCGTTCTCTCCGGATTTGTCCATTGAAAATGTCTTCTAATAAAGCCAAAGCTGCCATTGCTAGACGGGTTGTATCAATTTTCACATCCTTTATATATGTTCTTACTTAATTGCATAATTAATAGAATATTCTAATAAGACTCGTGTGACAATAATATGGCAAATCATTTATCAATTACAAATTATAAGCAATATCTGGCAGGTGCGATAGAACAGTTCGTAGTGTAATGTTTGCCACTTGACTTTATTGCCTCTATGAGTCGCCAACGGACAAACATCACAAAAATGTACGTACGCCAGGCCTGAAGTTTACGTGGAAGAACGCACATTCTTACGTTAATTTCACTGTTAGTACATCTGACCGTGAACGTGAAAGCTGGCGTACGCCGTGTTTTCGTGCGTACGCAAGATTGATACATGAGGCCCCTGGAAGCCAGAAATCTTTCTGATTGAGAGGGGGTCAAATACTTATTTCCCTCATTAAAATGCAAATCAATTTATAACATTTTTGACATGCGTTTTTCTGGATTTTTGTTGTTGTTATTCTGTCTCTCACTGTTCAAATATACCTACCATTAAAATTATAGACTGATCATTTCTTTGTCAGTGGGCAAACGTACAAAATCAGCAGGGGATCAAACACTTTTTTCCCTCACTGTAGGTGTTCCTTTTGTCCAGGTGGGAAAGGGCAATGTGGAGTGCCATTGAGATTGCGTCATCTGTGGATCTGTCTACACCTATAGATTTATTAGATAAAACGGATTTAAGTTTGCCTGCATTAAAGTCCCCGGCCACTAGGAGTGCCGCTTCTGGATGAGCATTTTTTTGATTGCTTATAGCCTTATACAGCTCGTTGAGTGCGGTCTTAGTGCCATCGTCGGTTTTTGATGGTAAATAGACGGCTACGAAAAATATAGATGAAAACTCTCTTGGTAGATGAGGTACTCTACCTCATGTGCGCAATATCTCGAGATTACCTTACTTTTAGTTATCGCGTACAAGCTGTTATTGACATATAGACACACACCCCCACCCTTTGTCTTACCAGACATAGCTGTTCTGTCCTGCCGATGAACGGAAAACCCAGCCAACTGTGTATTACCCACGTCGTCGTTCAGCCACGACTCGGTGAAACATATGATATTAAGGTTTTTACTGTCCCGTTGGTAGGATAGTCTCGAACGGAGCTCATTAAGTTTATTCTCCAGTGATTGCACGTTGGCTAGTAGAACGGATGGTAGAGGCGGGTAACCCACTCGCAGACGAATTCTCACAAGGCACCATAATCTCCGCCCAATGTATTTCCTTAATGCGAATGACGGGGATTTGGGCCTTGACTGGGAGCAACATTATATCAAAGCACACCTCCAAGACACAAATATCATTAGCTGTTAACAAATAATAACACTACCACTACATCAGAGAGGGAAGGGCCAACGAAGCTACAATATGTCAATCCAACTCAAGATGCAAGGTTTGTCCAATGACAAGTGTAAATCATTTGATTTACTGCCTGAGGTTATACATACCCTACTTTGTGCCATTTCTAAAACAATAATTAATACTACCATAAGACAGTAAAAATACACAATTTTGAATTGTCCGAATGTGAATATAGACTATTATTTTGTCAGAATATGAATATATAATATATGTTAAACTTGGATCAAAAAAATGTAGTGATTAATTTAAATAGAAATTCAGAATATGATATTTCTCTTCAGTATTCTTGTATCTTGTTTATGCACGTTATATCAGTCTAAATGTGTAGCCTACATTCAACCATACTTTCTAGTTACATGCATATTATTGTTATTGCATCAATGAAACAAATAATTTTCTTCCAAAGTGGTCGTGACTATCCATTTACTTTGAGATACATTGAGGAGGCCTGGTTATAAGCACATAGATGTGTTATCACAACTAAAATAAAATAACCTAAAAAATACTTTATTTTTGGATTCGTGTATGTGGAACCAGCGGCCAAATGATTGAAGACCGATATTCTGACGTTTTTTGACATCGCAATGTGAGTTTTTATTAGAGTCAGTATAGCAATGTAACGTTATTGATCTGTCAGTTTTCCTATATAATTCCCTACTTTTCCCACTGACACGGTATAAACAGCTCTGCAGGCTTCACTGTTATGGTACACAGTCAGTACACAACACTATGCTCATCATGTCTTAGCAGGATCAGATGGTGACAGGTGTCCCAGCAGGGTCAGACAGCCAGGGAAGACCAGTCTACAGAGCTGAGGTGAATTTAGCAGTATATTATAACAATCAGTGAATGGATACAAAGTTCCATCTTGAGTTGATGGGTAGGCTACTGTCTGAGATCTGGGAATAATGGTCATTTCAATTATTGAACCATTGATTCTATTATATAATGTATAAATTTACACCAAGGCAATTCTTTGTCATGCCTCTTCTGAGTAGGCTCAGATGGTGACGGGGGTCTCAGCAGGGTCAAGCAGCCAGGGAAGACCAGTATGTGACCGCTGAGGTGAACTTTTTCAGATGCAACACTTTCTTCTCTCGGTGCAGCAAGCACTGGACAAGCCAGAAGCTTCAAAGATTGAAACCATTTTAAGGCAGTCTGACAAACCTCTAAAGTTGATTTCCTAACTGTTTCAAGGGTTGATAGAGGCTTTTCCTGATGACACAAAACTGTGAGGAAGACCTGGGAGACGCTTTTGATGATGATGAATGGATACAGATATGTTTGAATGCCTTCATGTTCATATAATCTCAGACCTAAATTATTGCAGTTTAAGACCATCCATAGAACATACTATATGACAGTTAAACTGAATATCATGCACAGAAATGTAATTCCTCCGCTGGAGTTGTAAAACACAACAGGGGACATATTTGCATATGTTATGATCTTGTGAAGGCTGGCTGATTTCTGGCAAAGACTATGTTCTTTTGTCTCTGCATGTCTACAGATTCTCACTTTCCCTGTTTTTGTTTGCTTGGAAATGTTAATACTGGAGGCTGTTATAAGAAGAAACTGTGTAACCGTAGCATTTATAGTAGCTAAGAAATGCATTGCCATAAAATTGGAAGGTTGGTTATCCTACAACAATGTCACAATGGATGGCAGAAATGTCAAATCATGTTTCACTAGATTTGATTTATTACTAGATTAAGGGTATACTCTGCAACTTTGATAAGGTCTGGGTGCCTTATGGAATACTGTATGACAAAAGGTGTCTGTAATGAAAACATTAGATTTTCTTTAGTCAAGCAGTCACAAATATACCTTTTTTTTTATGGCACACGAGACACCTATCTGATTTGCGCCTCTCTCAGTGGACTAATCCATTGAGGAGGCCACAGGGATGCCACGGTCCAAGAATATGGGGATTGTGGCTCAGACGCATAAGGCACGTCTCTCTCCAGAATGCGCTCTCTCCCCCCATTTAGTGGGTATTCAGTGTTTCATAACTTGATTGTGTGCATTGTTTGCTATGTCTATCAATACCCCATTACAAATAGCACCAGTAGTAGCCTACATTTAACATTAATTCCCATCATTTCTAATCTGCAAGGTTTATTTCTGTTAATGCATTATATATTATTATTAAGGTCATTTACCATTCTCAATGTCAGAGTGGACATGTGTTTTGCAGAACTCACAACCTATACTACACTTGTGAGAAACCAGTTATTGTTTATTTTATTCCTTTTAACGAGTCTTGTCAATTTATTCATCATTTTTTGTTTGAAACTCTCCTGTCAATGTTGAGTAAGGACTCGCACCTGATTAACCATATAGAAGTAGGACTAGTCTACCTAGCCTGCGTGCAAATGTAGGCCTATAAATGTGCCCATTTGGGGATGTCTGATAGTATATCTGATTGTCTTAACTCACCACCACTAATGAGCTGTGGAGCTTCTCAAAGTAAATTTTCTTCACCTCAAACAGCAAGTAAATAAAGTATGTTTTTAGAATCAAATGAGAATGACAATAGTTCCTCAAAGTATTTGAACAATATTTCCATCTCTCTCCCTTTCGATAACCACTCGGCATGAAAGGGAAAGATATAATGGCCTGATCCAGTGGAAACATAATACAATACCTGACCCAGTTGATAGTTGATACAATGTCTTGAGTTCGTTGCATACAGGTCATGCGTAGACAACATGATTCATAGGATATGTATTTTTATCAGGATATTTTCTGCCTGCAGGCTGCAATGTTTTTACGTGTTGGCTTTTTGTAGGCTATTTTTATATAGTTGGCAATGGCAATAAAAGTTACTTTTTTTTATTATTTGTAGATTAACCACAGACAATGATTTTTAGATACAAAGACTATTATAAATTAAAAGATGTTCCACGATAATGTGCATATGAAAATTATAACTGGTATGCAGACTGGTAGAAATGGTAAGAAAAAATGACACGTTTAGAAATGTTGACAAATCGATTGGTCGAAAGAAAAGACTACTCTTGGTTGACCAAGATTATTTTTGGTCGGGTACAGCACTAGCAGAAATGCAGGAAATTAGCATTAGATGCCCCCCAAAATTTGGGAGGACACCAAGACCCCCTGCCAGGTGTTGTTATTTTTGTTGACTTCTGATATCAGGAAGTCTCCCTGCTATGTAAGATTATGAAACTAACGTTTCACATCAATGATTTTATGTGCTTTACATTTTCTAAAAACTGCCCTTCGGATCTGCTGGAGGTTAAGTCCATATATGACAGGGTTTAAGACAGGTGGTACAACAAGGAATTGTACAGCCATTGCATTACGCATATTTACTGTAATATTTACATTACTATACCACCCTTGCAGAGTGTCAAACAGGGTCACTGTGATGTAAATAACCATTGTTATTAAATGTGGCACACATGTCTGTGTGAACTTAATCCTTCCCTTAGCTGACTTTACACAAGTCCTTACAATCTGACAGTAAGAAAATACAATTAAAAATAACTGTAAAACATGAACACATATTACAAATTTGTTAAAATTCTGGTTGATGGTAATGGGTAAACATGCATGTTTCAGTATAGATGGAACGTCACAGAATATTTTATCAATGCGAGATCCACACAAAGGAATTCTGACGGCTACAATAAGTGCTATGAGTGGTATAAATAAAGGATAACACCAAGCAAATAAGAGTAACTTTCTAACAGTTAAAGATGTCACAATGGTATGGTATAGTAGTGGTCTGCATATTGCCACATACCTATCGTAAGACATCACTGTTAGAGTAGAAATTTCACACAGGAGAGATGTGTATATTACATAGGCTTGAGTAAAAAATCCACCATAACATATCACCTGAACATCTGCCTGAAGGTCGAATAAGAACTTGGGGTAGAAACCAGCAGTTCCATACAATCCATTGACACATAGACTACACAGAAACATATACATAGGCTCATGGAGGCCTTTCTCCTGAATGATTGTTATGATCAGAGTCAGATTCACAGTGATGATGAGAAGGTATGTGATAAGAGACAAGATAAAATAGACCGATTTGTTGTTAAATGTCTCTTGTAAGCCAAAGAGATAAAAGAACTTGACTTGGGTTGAGTTCTCCATAGCTTTTGTTAATTTTCTTCCTTTGGTCAATGCAGCAATTCTTAGTCCTTACAAGGCTTGAGTGTGATGGATGTGAATGAATTCAAGTGTGAATCATTTGATTCTGTTTAGGCTCAGACTAAACACAATAGTTTTAACAAAACAAATTCACATCCTCCCTCAAACTCTTATTCCAAAAAAATTAAGATCCCGATAATGTCTGTACATTATCAGACTTCTGAGGTGTGAAAGAATTGAAGAGACTTGTGTCCATGAAATGTCTTGCTTGACAGAGGGATAGTGCTCCAATTACTTGTCCTGCTAGCCTCTAAATATATCATAGTGTATGCTCACATGGGATTGTAGTTTCAGTGTCAACATGTAACCAATCCATAGAGATGGATCTATATTTAGTTTATAACAAGCAACTCATTTGATTCTATTTACTCTATTGATGTATTAACCCAGCAAACAAGGGACGTCCCAGGCCCGGCGCCACGAGGGTGCAAAAGTGGGCAATGACCCCTTAGTTTGAATATTGTGCCCCCTCAGTTTTGTATCCCTATTCTGTCCCACAATCTGCCCCCTCCGTCATGCCCAACCAATTTGTTGTGTATGCTTCATTCATGCATCTCCCTTGCACGCATCACACGTACATCATACACGTTTTACCAGTTGAAAAAAAACACATTTTGATTGGCCTTCACAGTAGAAGGCTGGGGTCAATTTACCTTCAAAGTTATGTAGTAAGAAGAACAAAAAAAAAATTCACCGTGCAGCTGGATGGAATTTAGCGAATGTTAACAGTTAGGTAGGTAGCTGATAGCATGATGGATATTAGAAAGTGGCTTCGCCAGGGCACAACGGCAGCATCGGATCAAAGTGTAGGGGAGGGGGAGAAGCCTGCCACAGAGGCCAAGCAGACGTTAATCACAGAGGCCAAGGCTGCCGAGCCAGCAGCAAAGGCACCTGCGCAACTGTCTTGCAGCCTGGTGACATAGGAGGTAACCAACCCGAGGAGGGGCCTGCAGCCGCCAAAACCGAATCTAGCAGCAGCACCGCCAGGATATTACAAGCACCGACACCTCCGTTAGTGCCTGACGACCTCGGTGATGAGGAGCCAGCGCAGGTTTGTCTGGGGAAATACCCAACCAGCCTTTACTGTGAGAGAAAACGTGCATTTTGTAGCATGTGGTTCAAAGGCAGAGAGTGGCTGGAATATTCCTGCCAGTCAAATGTAGCTTTCTGCTATCCTTGTCGAAAATGTAACATCGGCTCCAATGCTAACGCCGATAAGGCATTCATCCGAACTGGATATAATAACTGGCGACATGCCATTGATAGCAACAAGGGACTGGGGAGGCACGCATCAAGCAAAGAACATTTAAAATGCATGGTACTTTGGACAGAAAGACACGCAAGGAATGCACAGGGAGCGGAAATTTCAACACTTGTGAATTCTGCTCAGCTTGCAAGAAATCGTATGTATTTGTCATCGATTGTGGACATTGTGGAATTTCTTGCTGTCAACAAGCTTCCTCTCAGGGGAACTTTGGATGCGATGGATGCAAGAGGGGAGGGGGGCGTTGGAATATTCCTGGCGATATTAGATTATACGCTCAGGAAAGACAAGGAACTTGCTAGTGCCTTAAGCACAATTCCCCGCAATGCCACATACACATCTCATGACATCCAGAACGAAATAATTGGGCTCATGAGTGAGGTAGTCACAGAGGAAATTGTAAAGGAAGTAGGTGATTCATGGTACACACTTAAAGTGGATGGGACTAAAGACCCAACCGGGTGTGAGAACATTTCAATTGTATTCCATTACGTGGGTGAAAACAATCGTGTTTCTGAGCGGCTACTCTCAATGGCAACGAGTATGTGATGCTTTATCGCTGACTAACTTGGTCCTGTCAGAGCTAACAAATCTTGGCCTTAGCACCGAGAAGTTTATTAGTCAATGTTATGATGAGGGCCAGTGTGATGTTTGGTAAACATGGGGGCATGCAAAGGATAGTGCAGGACAAGCTGAATCGGGAAGTGCCGTATGTGCATTGCTTTAACCACCAGCTGCATTGAGTCATAGTGCACGCTATGTCCTCTGAGGGTGCATTGGATGACTTTTTTAATGTGTGTAATTCCCTTTACAAGTTTCTCAGGAAACCAACTGTGGCTGCGCAAAATACGGGAGAGAAACTGAAACGGCTGTTTGAGCAGCGATGGACTGGTCATCTAGCCACGGTGAGTGTCATTATAAAATATCTGGACAGCATCATCCACCTGCTCAGAGAAATCGAGAGTACCCACACCTACGGTACAGAAGTGCGACTTGAGGCTGTGGGCCTATTGAAATGTCACGCCCTGGCTCTGGGGACTCTTAAATGTTGAGCCAGGGTGTGGAGTCTCTATGTTATAGTTTTCTATGTTTTGTTCTAGATCGTTTAGATCTATGTTGGCCAGGGTGGTTCCCAATCAGAGGCAGCTGTATCTCGTTGTCTCTGATTGGGGACCATACTTAGGCAGTCTGTTTGGCACTAGTCAGTGTGGGATCTTGTTCTGTAAGGTTTGTTTTGTGTTAACCTAGGACTTCACGTATCGTTGGTTTGTTGTTTTTGTTTGTGTGTCAGTACAAATAAAATGTACGCTTATCACGCTGCGCCTTGGTCCGTGTCTTCTGTATACGAGCGTGACAGAAGATCCCACCGACCCTGGATCAAGCAGCGTGACGAGGAGAGAGGATGGACGTGGGAGGAGATGAGAGAGAGTCTGGCTAGAGGGATGGAGGCCATGAGCACAGGGGAGAGACAAGCCCAAACATTTTTTAGGGGGGGGGGGGCTCACGCCGTGGACGACGAGGCAGCAGGAGGCCGCGATAGAGCGGTTCAGCCGGTTAGCAGAGGAGGCCGCCAGATTAAGGGGGTCATTGGTGCAGAGGGAGCAGAAGGAAGGTGTAGCGGCACGGCGAGAGGAGCTGGTTAGGCAGCAATCAAGTGGTGCGTGTCGCCAGTCTGGTCCGGCCCGTTCCTGATTCCCGCACTAAGCCAGTGGTGGGTGTTCCCAGCCCAGTCCGGCCCATTCGTGCTCCCCGCACCAAGCCAGTGGTGCCCGTCGTCAGCCCAGTCCGGCCCGTTCCTGCTCCCCGCACCAAGCCAGTGGTGCGTGTTCCCAGTCCAGCCCAGCCTGTTCCTGCCCCTCGCACCAAGCCAGTGGTGCGCGTCGCCAGCCCGGTCCGGCCTGTTCCTGTCCCTCGCACCAAGCCAGTGGTGCGCGTCGCCAGTCTGGTACGGCCCGTTCCTGCTCCCCGCACCAAGCCAGTGGTGCGCGTCGTCCGATTTCTCAATTAAAACGAAATACAGTATATGCAGTATATTTGTTATTATCAAGGAATTATCTGGAATTTGTTAGGACAGAATAAGCTATCCAAAATAGGCAACAGGTTTCTCTTGTGTCCCAGGTAGTTGCCTTTCTGAGGAATAAGAAAGCTAGTCATCTGACAGATAGCTGGCACACAGATATCATGTTACATAGAACGGTTGTTCCTCAGAAAACATGACATGCATCTGCATTTCAGACAGAATATAGTTTGTTTTCATGCTACAGTATTTCCCTAGATTTCTCTCTCAAAATGTCAAACAATCCCCAAGCTTGTATGTACTGTACAGGGCTTTATTTTCCATTTGTGATGGATGTAATGGTGCCAGGTGGGCTTACCTTTTACACATTTACATCAGCTTGTCAACTGTTGTCAATCGATCCAGACAGTTTTGCATTTCTAGATTTGTTACATACTTAGATACAGCAACCTCTGGCAAAACTATCAATTTAAGTAAGGAATTCAAAGTAATGAACTTCTGTTTTTTAAAATTTAAATAATGAAAATAATTTATTACCTTTGTAAAGTGTTTTTCATTATAAAATTATAATCTCAAATTGCATAAAATAAAAAACGAACTAAAAAAAGAGTACAAAATATATATAACCAAATCATGAAAGCAACAATCAAAGTCTAGGAGGATTGGAAGGCTTATAGAGCTGAGTCTTAAGGCCTGCTTTAAAGGCCCCAACAGTCTGAACAGCCCTGAGATTGTCAGGAAGGGAGTTCCAAAGGCGTGGTGCGTGGGAGCAAAATAAACGGCCCTCCATTGTGTGTATCCAGGTCCTGCCGGCATTCAGCAGCTTGACGTGGTTTAAACTTAGGGTGCGTGGAGGTTCATAGGTCTGACAGGTAGGCTGGTCCAATTCAATTTAGGGCTTTGTAGACAAGGAAGTTAATTTTAAAGTACATTCTTTGAGGGACAGATAGTCAATAGAGATCAGCAAGTGAATAAAAGGTAAATGACAATACCATACATATCAGCAAATGTTTTACAAGTCTGATTTTCACCATCCTCACCCCCATTCATTATTGCACCTATAAGTAACAAAACACACAAGTCAACATCACAAAAATCGAACAATCAGGACAGAAAAGGTCACACTAATGTTTAGCTTATGTTTTAGGGTACAGACCTACAGGTAGTATGTGTTTACAAGCCTGTCTGATTTTAGCCATCCTAACTCCATACACAATAGGATTTAAAAGTGGCTGGCACATCAGAAAGTACACTGATAAAATAGTGAGAAGTACAGTTGGAACATTTCTCATAGGCCTATCAAATCTACTCTGGAGCAGATTTAAGAAACAGCCGAATGAGAAGTTGAGCAGCGAAGCCTGATGAGGAGTACAGGTGCTGAAAGCTTTCTGTCTGGTCTCGATGGAAGATTTCAAACAAATAGTCAGAATCTTAATATAAGAGAACACAATAGTAATTAAAGGGACAGCGACAGTCAAAACAATACCACAGAGTCCATAGATGTTATTAACTGTCGTGTCTGATGTTGAACAGCTGAGTTTTACTACCAGGTAGTTGTCAAAATACACTTTGTCTATAACATTCCCACACAATTGCAAACAAATAGTTAAAGACAGTGTTATGATGCTTCTTGCAAAAGAGTACAACCATATTACACAAATAAAATACACACCCTGTTGGGTGTAATGATGTTGTTATACTGTAGTGGATAACATATAGCACGGTACCTGTCATAGGACATGGCTGCTAAATTGCTGAATTCAATAGATCCATATGTGTATATACAAAAGATCTGTAGGTAACAGTACACAGCGGAAACTGCATGGTCATCTGAAACCAAATGAGTCATGAGAGCAGGAAACAAACCAGCAATATAATACAAGTCATTCACAAACAAACTGCACAGAAACAGATACATGGGTTCATGAAGGCTTCTCTCCATACAAATAACTACAATAAGCACTGTGTTGAGACGTATAAGACAGTTATTATAATTAAATACAAGTACTTTAAATGTCCACTGTCACTATATCCAGCTAGTATAAATGACATGAATTGTGTTGAGTTCTCCATTTTCTTAATAGTACCTATAGAAGTATATAAAAATAAAAACAGGATTTAAGTCTAGATCACCTGTTATATTTCTCCAGGCTGCCGTTATGTGGACATACAGTGAGGGGAAAAAAGTATTTGATCCCCTGCTGATTTTGTACGTTTGCCCACTGACAAAGAAATTATCAGTCTATAATTTTAATGGTAGATTTATTTGAACAGTGAGAGACAGAATAACAACAACAAAATCCAGAAAAACGCATGTCAAAAAAGTTATGAATTGATTTGCATTTTAATGAGGGAAAAAAGTATTTGACCCCTCTGCAAAACATGACTTAGTACTTGGTGGCAAAACCCTTGTCAGCAATACCAGAGGTCAGACGTTTATTGTAGTTGGCCACCAGGTTTGCACACATCTCAGGAGGAATTTTGTCCCACTCCTCTTTGCAGATCTTCTCCAAGTCATTAAGGTTTCGAGGCTGACATTTGGCAACTCAAACCTTCAGCTCCCTCCACAGATTTTCTATGGGATTAAGGTCTGGAGACTGGCTAGGCCACTCCAGGCCCTTAATGTGCTTCTTCTTGAGCCACTCCTTTGTTGCCTTGGCCGTGTATTTTGGGTCAATGTAATGCTGGAATACCCATCCACGACCCATTTTCAATGCCCTGGCTGAGGGAAGGAGGTTCTCACCCAAGATTTGACGGTACATGGCCCCGTCCATCGTCCCTTTGATGCGGTGAAGTTGTCCTGTCCCCTTAGCAGAAAAAGACCCACAAAGCATAATGTTTCCACCTCCATGTTTGACTGTGGGGATGGTGTTCTTGGGGTCATAGGCAGCATTCCTCCTCCTCCAAACACGGCGAGTTGAGTTGAGGCCAAAGAGCTCGATTTTGGTCCCATCTGACCACAACACTTTCACCCAGTTCTCCTCTGAATCATTCAGATGTTCATTGGCAAACTTCAGACGGGCATGTATATTTGCTTTCTTGAGCAGGGGGATCTTGCGGGCGCTGCAGGATTTCAGTCCTTCATGGCGTAGTGTGTTATCAATTGTTTTCTTGGTGACTAAGGTCCCAGCTGCCTTGATAGAGGCTTTTCTTGATGACACAAAACTGTGAGGAAGACCTGGGAGACGCTTTTGATGATGATGAATGGATACAGATATGTTTGAATGCCTTCATGTTCATATAATCTCAGACATAAATTATTGCAGTTTAAGACCATCCATAGAACATACTATATGACAGTTAAACTGAATATCATGCACAGAAATGTAATTCCTCCGCTGGAGTTGTAAAACACAAAAGGGGACATATTTGCATATGTTATGATCTTGTGAAGGCTGGCTGATTTCTGGCAAAGACTATGTTCTTTTGTCTCTGCATGTCTACAGATTCTCACTTTCCCTGTTTTTGTTTGCTTGGAAATGTTGATACTGGAGGCTGTTATAAGAAGAAACTGTGTAACCGTAGCATTTATAGTAGCTAAGAAATGCATTGCCATAAAATTGGAAGGTTGGTTATCCTACAACAATGTCACAGTGGATGGCAGAAATGTCAAATCATGTTTCACTAGATTTGATTTATTACTAGATTAAGGGTATACTCTGCAACTTTGATAAGGTCTGGGTGCCTTATGGAATACTGTATGACAAAAGGTGTCTGTAATGAAAACATTAGATTTTCTTTAGTCAAGCAGTCACAAATATAGCTTTTTTTTTATGGCACACGAGACACCTATCTGATTTGCGCCTGTCTCAGTGGACTAATCCATTGAGGAGGCCACAGGGATGCCACGGTCCAAGAATATGGGGATTGTGGCTCAGACGCATAAGGCACGTCTCTCTCCAGAATGCGCTCTCTCCCGCCATTTAGTGGGTATTCAGTGTTTCATAACTTGATTGTGTGCATTGTTTGATATGTCTATCAATACCCCATTACAAATAGCACCAGTAGTAGCCTACATTTAACATTAATTCCCATCATTTCTAATCTGCAAGGTTTATTTCTGTTAATGCATTATATATTATTATTAAGGTCATTTACCATTCTCAATGTCAGAGTGGACATGTGTTTTGCAGAACTCACAACCTATACTACACTTGTGAGAAACCAGTTATTGTTTATTTTATTCCTTTTACGAGTCTTGTCAATTTATTCATAATTTTTTGTTTGAAACTCTCCTGTCAATGTTGAGTAAGGACTCGCACCTGATTAACAATATAGAAGTAGGACTAGTCTACCTAGCCTGCGTGCAAATGTATGCCTATAAATGTGCCCATTTAGGGATGTCTGATAGTATATCTGATTGTCTTAATTCACCACCACTAATGAGCTGTGGAGCTTCTCAAAGTAAATGTTCTTCACCTCAAACAGCAAGTAAATAAAGTATGTTTTTAGAATCAAATGAGAATGACAACAGTTCCTCAAAGTATTTGAACAATATTTCCATCTCTCTCCCTTTCGATAACCACTCGGCATGAAAGGGAAAGATATAATGACCTGATCCAGTGGAAACATAATAAAATACCTGACCCAGTTGATAGTTGATACAATGTCTTGAGTTTGTTGCATACAGGTCATGCGTAGACAACATGATTCATAGGATATGTATTTTTATCAGGATATTTTCTGCCTGCAGGCTGCAATGTTTTTACGTGTTGGGTTTTTGTAGGCTATTTTTATATAGTTGGCAATGGCAATAAAAGTTAATTTTTTTTATTATTTGTAGATTAACCACAGACAATGATTTTTAGATACAAAGACTATTATTAATTAAAAGATGTTCCACGATAATGTGCATATGAAAATTATAACTGGTATGCAGACTGGTAGAAATAGTAAGAAAAAATGACACGTTTAGAAATGTTGACAAATCGATTGGTCGAAAGAAAAGACTACTCTTGGTTGACCAAGATTATTTTTGGTCGGGTACAGCACTAGCAGAAATGCAGGAAATTAGCATTAGATGCCCCCCAAAAATTTGGGAGGACACCAAGACCCCCTGCCAGGTGTTGTTATTTTTGTTGACTTCTGATATCAGGAAGTCTCCCTGCTATGTAAGATTATGTAACTAACGTTTCACATCAATGATTTTATGTGCTTTACATTTTCTAAAAACTGCCCTTCGGATCTGCTGGAGGTTAAGTCCATATATGACAGGGTTTAAGACAGGTGGTACAACAAGGAATTGTACAGCCATTGCATTACGTATATTTACTGTAATATTTACATTACTATACCACCCTTGCAGAGTGTCAAACAGGGTCACTGTGATGTAAATAACCATTGTTATTAAATGTGGCACACATGTCTGTGTGAACTTAATCCTTCCCTTAGCTGACTTAACACAATTCCTTACAATCTGACAGTAAGAAAATACAATGAAAAGTATCTGTAAAACATGAACACATATTATACATTTGTTCAGAATCTGAATGATGGTAATGTCATAACATGCATGTTTCAGTATAGATGGAACGTCACAGAATATTTTATCAATGCGAGATCCACACAAAGGAATTCTGACGGCTAAACTAAGTGCTATGAGTCCTATAAATAAAGGATAACACCAAGCAAATAAGAGTAACTTTCTAACAGTTAAAGATGTCACAATGGTATGGTATAGTAGTGGTCTGCATATTGCCACATACCTGTCGTAAGACATCACTGTTAGAGTAGAAATTTCACACAGGAGAGATGTGTATATTACATAGGCTTGAGTAAAACATCCACCATAAGATATCACCTGAACATCTGACTGAAGGTCCAGTAAGAACTTGGGGTAGAAACCAGCAGTTCCATACAATCCATTGACACATAGACTACACAGAAATATATACATAGGCTCATGGAGGCCTTTCTCCTGAATGATTGTTATGATCAGAGTCAAATTCACAGTGATGATGAGAAGGTATGTGATAAGAGACAAGATAAAATAGACCGATTTGTTGTTAAATGTCTCTTGTAAGCCAAAGAGATAAAATAACTTGACTTGGGTTGAGTTCCCCATATCTTTTGTTAATTTTCTTCCTTTGGTCAATGCAGCAATTCTTAGTCCTTACAAGGCTTGAGCGTGTATGGATGTGAATGAATTCAAGTGTGAATCATTTGATTCTGTTTAGGCTCAGACTAAACACAATAGTTTTAACAAAACAAATTCACATCCTCCCTCAAACTCTTATTCAAAAAAAATTAAGATTCCGATAATGTCTGTACATTATCAGACTTCTGAGGTGTGAAATAATTGAAGAGACTTGTGTCCATGAAATGTCTTCTTGCTTGACAGAGGGATAGTGCTCCAATTACTTGTCCTGCTAGCCACTAAATATATCATAGTGTATGCTCACATGGGATTGTAGTTTCAGTGTCAACATGTAACCAATCCATAGAGATGGATCTATATTTAGTTTATAACAAGCAACTCATTTGATTCTATTTACTCTATTGATGTATTAACCCAGCAAACAGGGGACGTCCCAGGCCCGGCGCCACGAGGGTGCAAAAGTGGGCAATGACCCCTTAGTTTGAATATTGTGCCCCCTCAGTTTTGTATCCCTATTCTGTCCCACAATCTGCCCCCTCCGTCATGCCCAACCAATTTGTTGTGTATGCTTCATTCATGCATCTCCCTTGCACGAATCACACGTACATCATACACGTTTTACCAGTTGAAAAAAAAGACATTTTGATTGGCCTTCACAGTCGAAGGCTGGTGTCAATTTACTTTCAGGTTTACTTTCAAAGTTATGTAGTAAGAAGAAAGAAAAAAAAAATCACAGTGCAGCTGGATGGAATTTAACTAATGTTAACAGTTAGGTAGGTAGCTGATAGCATGATGGATATTAGAAAGTGGCTTCGCCAGGGCACAACGGCAGCATCGGATCAAAGTGTAGGGGAGGGGGAGAAGCCTGCCACAGAGGCCAAGCAGACGCTAATCACAGAGGCCAAGGCTGCCGAGCCAGCAGCAAAGGCACCTGCGCAACTGTCTTGCAGCCTGGTGACATAGGAGGTAACCAACCCGAGGAGGGGCCTGCAGCCGCCAAAACCGAATCTAGCAGCAGCACCGCCAGGATATTACAAGCACCGACACCTCCATTAGTGCCTGACGACCTCGGTGATGAGGAGCCAGCGCAGGTTTGTCTGGGGAAATACCCAACCAGCCTTTACTGTGGGAGAAAACGTGCATTTTGTAGCACGTGGTTCAAAGGCAGAGAGTGGCTGGAATATTCCTGCCAGTCAAATGCAGCTTTCTGCTATCCTTGTCGAAAATGTAACATCGGCTCCAATGCTAACACCGATAAGGCATTCATCCGAACTGGATATAATAACTGCCGACATGCCATTGATAGCAACAAGGGACTGGGGAGGCACGCATCAAGCAAAGAACATTTGAAATGCATGGTACTTTGGACAGAAAGACACGCAAGGAATGCACAGGGAGCGGAAATTTCAACACTTGTGAATTCTGCTCAGCTTGCAAGAAATCGTATGTATTTGTCATCGATTGTGGACATTGTGGAATTTCTTGCTGTCAACAAGCTTCCTCTCAGGGGAACTTTGGATGCGATGGATGCAAGAGGGGAGGGGGGCGTTGGAATATTCCTGGCGATATTAGATTATACGCTCAGGAAAGACAAGGAACTTGCTAGTGCCTTAAGCACAATTCCCCGCAATGCCACATACACATCTCATGACATCCAGAACGAAATAATTGGGCTCATGAGTGAGGTAGTCACAGAGGAAATTGTAAAGGAAGTAGGTGATTCATGGTACACACTTAAAGTGGATGGGACTAAAGACCCAACCGGGTGTGAGAACATTTCAATTGTATTCCATTACGTGGACGAAAACAATCGTGTTTCTGAGCGGCTACTCTCAATGGCAACGAGTATGTGATGCTTTATCGCTGACTAACATGGTCCTGTCAGAGCTAACAAATCTTGGCCTTAGCACCGAGAAGATTATTAGTCAATGTTATGATGAGGGCCAGTGTGATGTTTGGTAAACATGGGGGCATGCAAAGGGTAGTGCAGGACAAGCTGAATCGGGAAGTGCCGTATGTGCATTGCTTTAACCACCAGCTGCATTGAGTCATAGTGCACGCTATGTCCTCTGAGGGTGCATTGGATGACTTTTTTAATGTGTGTAATTCCCTTTACAAGTTTCTCAGGAAACCAACTGTGGCTGCGCAATATACGGGAGAGAAACTGAAACGGCTGTTTGAGCAGCGATGGACTGGTCATCTAGGCACGGTGAGTGTCATTATAAAATATCTGGACAGCATCATCCACCTGCTCAGAGAAATCGAGAGTACCCACACCTACGGTACAGAAGTGCGACTTGAGGCTGTGGGCCTATTGAAATGTCACGCCCTGGCTCTGGGGACTCTTAAATGTTGAGCCAGGGTGTGGAGTCTCTATGTTATAGTTTTTTATGTTTTGTTCTAGATCGTTTAGATCTATGTTGGCCAGGGTGGTTCCCAATCAGAGGCAGCTGTATCTCGTTGTCTCTGATTGGGGACAATACTTAGGCAGTCTGTTTGGCACTAGTCGGTGTGGGATCTTATTCCGTAAGGTTTGTTTTGTGTTAACCTAGGACTTCACGTATCGTTGGTTTGTTGTTTTTGTTCGTGTGTCAGTACAAATAAAATGTACGCTTATCACGCTGCACCTTGGTCCGTGTCTTCTGTATACGAGCGTGACAGAAGATCCCACCGACCCTGGATCAAGCAGCGTGACGAGGAGAGAGGATGGACGTGGGAGGAGATGAGAGAGAGTCTGGCTAGAGGGATGGAGGCCTTGAGTACGGGGGAGAGACAAGCCCAAAAATTGTTTAGGGGGGGGGGGCTCACGCCGTGGACGACGAGGCAGCAGGAGGCCGCGATAGAGCGGTTCAGCCGGTTAGCAGAGGAGGCTGCCAGATTAAGGGGGTCATTGGTGCAGAGGGAGCAGAAGGAAGGTGTAGAGGCACGGCGAGAGGAGCTGGTTAGGCAGCAGAAGGAGCGGGGGTTAATGAAGGAACCCAGTCCCGCTCCTCGCACCAAGCCAGTGGTGCGCGTCGCTAGTCCGGTACGGCCCGTTCCTGCTCCCCGCACCAAGCCAGTGGTGTGCGTCTTCAGCCCAGTCCGGCCCGTTCCTGCTCCCCGCACCAAGCCAGTGGTGCGTGTGTCCAGTCCGGCACGGCCCGTACCTGTTCCACCGGTGCCCGGAGCTGGATCCGCCTCCGAGGACTGCCCACCCGGCCCCTACCCTGTTGTGTTTGTGTGGCGCGGTCGCAGTCCGCGCCTTTGGGGGGGGGTACTGTCACGCCCTGGCTTTGGGGACTCTTAAATGTTGAGCCAGGGTGTGGAGTCTCTATGTTATAGTTTTCTATGTTTTGTTCTAGATCGTTTAGATCTATGTTGGCCAGGGTGGTTCCCAATCAGAGGCATCTGTATCTCGTTGTCTCTGATTGGGGACCATACTTAGGCAGCCTGTTTGCACTAGTCGGTGTGGGATCTTGTTCCGTAAGGTTTGTTTTGTGTTAACCTAGGACTTCACGTATCGTTGGTTTGTTGTTTTTGTTTGTGTGTCAGTACAAATAAAATGTACGCTTATCACGCTGCGCCTTGGTCCGTGTCTTCCGTATACGAGCGTGACATGAAAGCCTTTTCCGAGCCGAGCTTCAGATTCATTGCCTTCATGGTCCACAAAGTCCTCAGCCTGCTCGACCCCCCTAACAAGTTACTTCAGGCTCAAGCAACTGATCTGTACACTGGCATCCGAGTCGTCCGCAGTGCCCACAATTGTGTGAAAAAACTGCAATGTGACAGTGAGTTTGATGAGTTATGGGAGAAATACAAACACATGGACACCCCCTCTCCAAGCAAACGGCAAAGAGTAGTGAGTAGTAATCTGAAAGAATATGTGGTTGAAACAACAATGGGCCAGCAAGAAGAGGGTAATGAGAGGGAGTGCTGTACTGGGAGAAATGTCAGCAAGATTTAACAAACGAAACAGCCAACTTGTTGAGGCCCTGTGTGCCTTGTACCCAGAGAATGAAACCTTTATGGATGTGGAAAAGGTGAAACCACTGCTGGACTTAATCTCAGGAGACTTTGTGAAAGCTGAGTTTACTGTCGCACGCCAGTTTCTGCAGACTGAAATCGCCCGATCAGGAGAAGAAAAATGGACTACGCAGAGCATTTTGGATAGATACTCCGGGCCTCTAACAGTAATGCCTACTGTGATAATGGCATTGAAGCTAGGATTAACATTTGGAGAATCCAGGGCAACTTGCGGGAACTATTTTTCAGCATTGAAAAATGTATTCAGTGAGCACAGATGGAGCATGTTGCACAGGAGGAAAGCGCAGCTGATTCAACTGGCATTTGAGAGGGATCTTACATGCAAATTCCGTGGGGAGTGGAACGAGAGACTGCTGAGGAGCTTCAACACAGCATCAAGGCAGCTACTACTCTTTTGAATCTGGGTAAGAACAGGCAGCCTGGCTGGGCTTGTATTATTTTGTTATTTGCTAGTGTAGTATCTGAACAATTTATAGCTTTGGCTGAGGTTTTCATATTGTTGGTTAAATGAACTTTACTCTACTTTGCTGAAACATCTGGAAATTATTACTATAGGGGCCCCCTAAGACAGAGGAGATTCGGATGTGTAAAGGCCAGGGATTGGTCTATCTAAAACCACCCATCTTATGTTACATAGGATATAAATACAATGTTTGAACAAAGGACGAGGAGAATAATCATTTTTAGATTGGTTTAGTTGTTCTGCGGATTTCTGCAGAAGTCTGTAAATTGATGCTGAAAATCTTTGATATAATAAACCATTATAATCAGAGTTCAGTGTCCGCGGATTTCTTGTCAACACAGCATATCAGCATCGTTGTCTCGACACCACATTAATGGCGACAAGGATTTTTGGGACGTGTTGCGTCTCTTCAGCGTTCCATTCATGGGCTACGAAGTGACTCCCGCTCAAGACGCCGGCAGATAAGGTGAGCTTTCTCACA